GGTGTAGCTACTTAAAATACATGTCGCTATGATTTTGTGTCTGGTCGAAACTGAAAAAAAAAAAAAAAAAAAAAAAAAAAAAAAAAAAAAATTAAAAAAAAAAAAAAAAAAAAAAAAAAAAAAAAAAAAAGCAAAGAAAATCTGCGTACATGTTAATGTATCGAGAATGAAATGGTTAAGCCCCCATAGCACCGGTGCATTTGAGATTATCTAAAATCTAGACACATTCCAGTCCAACAATCCTGAAGATAATAATGGTCATTTGACTGATAGACTTCATTATGTCCCCATTGTGGAGGATACACTTGGTGGATGGCTTGCTGTGGCCTCATCCAGTTGTTTTTTCTTCACACATTTAGCCACTCTATTTTTTCCCTACTACGTATATCACTCCGGTTTTCTTCCCTACTCTCTCTCTCTCTCTCTCTCGTATGCTCACCCGCTAACTTTACCGCCTCTCCCTAGCGGAATTCGCACATTTTCTGCGCAAATTCACTTCACCCCAAATGGTGAAATGCACTTGCTCCAGGAGAAACAAACCAACAACAATACTTGCTTTACCGTATGAGGTCTAAAAATACAAGCACGATGGTGTTCAGATTCCCCTTTGGCCGCTGAACATGAATATTTTCTGCTAATGTCATGCAACCACAATGTCTGCACTCATAAATGCAAGTGAAAAAAAGGAGATCCACATTTGAATGGCCTGTCATGTTTGAGCTTCTGTCTCTCCTCCCTCCCCCCTCCATCCCCAATTAAATTAACGCATTCATCTATTTATTTTGCTCCCCCTCGCAATTTTCGTTTTTCCCTCTTAGGTCGCTTGACCTTGTCGTGCTCCAGCTCACAAAAGGTGTCAAAAGTTCGCGGATTGTTTTAGAGTATCGCATTGTACTGAAAGTGTACACCCGGTTTGGCATTAGTGATTAAACCGCATGTAACGTTTTTAATTACATCTCTTTACACATTATTATTTTATTCATAGTGAGTCAATTTTTTCAGTCATACTAGCTCCATATACCACAGGGAACAGACCTACATATAGATATCGAACCGCTTTTCCCCTTCAACTTCAGATTTTGAATTACTTTACCACAGGGCCAACGAGGAAAATCTAAAAATCGACACCACTAGAATAAGCCTTCTTTTTCAACAGTGAACATTTTACTAGCCGGGTTTTTCTCTCTCCCTCTCTCTCTCCTTCTAGTTCAGATCTAGTTTGAACCCTAGTGATAATCCACTTCAAAACTCACATATGCACAACAATACATGAGACGAGCAGTATCCCGAATAATACCTTCGAGACAGAAAAATAGTGCCAGCTCAGTGGAATCGCCCACGGCTGGACTAGCTGGGGACAGCATCCCCTCCTTCATAGAGCAGAATACAACGATGACCGATACCAACCACCTTCCCTATACGAACTTTAAAATGGAATTCAACTCGATTGCAGAATTCTACATAACACTAGATGATCCCCACAAACTGTGGTTACCAGGTGACGAGGTGTCAGGACAAATCATATTGATATCAAGGAAAAACCTAGCTAATATAGCGATCACTCTATCGCTTGTGGGATGTGTTAAGATCAATGCGTCGTCTCATTCTAAGCTAAGACCAATAAAACATACCTTATTCAACCATACCATCAAGATATACGGGGATGAAGATGACGTCCCCACAGGCGGCGAAGACGACTTTAAAAGCGGGTTATATAAGGGTGAACATCGATTCCCATTCATCGTGAAGTTGCCTAACAAGAGAGTCTACACGAGCATAAACTTTGGTAAGGGTGCCATTGTATATCTGTTGAAAGCAGCTATAGGAAACATTCTGAATTCTGCCGCAGCTCCTAACGTGACCACGCCAACTACTACAAATAATACTTCAGTTAGTGGTGGCTCGGGAGCGAATGGTGGTAGTAGCGGTAACTCACCTTGCGATACAAGCTCTCCATCTGCTCATAAAAACATAATCGCAAAGGCTAAGCAGCTCAAAATGCTCAATAGCTCCACATACACCTCAGAGAAACTCATTAACCTTATAAATCCTATAGATGTAGCGAAATTACCGCCACTGAAGCCAAAAAGACTTATTTTGAAAGACCCAAGAAGCAGTAGTAGCAAGGGAAAGAATCTTGCAAGAACTCAGTCTTCTACATCAACACTCAATACATTTACTACTGTATCATCAAACACCTCTGACTCGGTGGATACCAATACTACAATGCAAGAAGGAACGACCCCAACCCAGCCAAGTAACAATAGCCAACTCAACATAACACCAAATGTTATAAACAATGGCTTCGCCATTGCCGGTACCCCTTTGTCTTCGGAAAACAGCTCACTGCAGAAGAAACCTGACACGATCAAAGTGAGTCTAGGAATACCGAACCGAGGGTACTTAAGAGGAGAACTAATACCGATCAAGCTTAATATCAACCATCTCAAAAAGATTCAAGACTTAAGTGGAATAATCATAACTTTTGTAAGAGTTTGTCGTTTAGATAATGGTCCCGATGGACTTTATGAATCGTTCAGGAAGGATTTGTATCAACTGGTTATTCCCTTATATGTAGACCCCAACACTTTCCAATCTGAGATCAATACCAGTGTCCGTGTCCCTGCAGATTCATTCCCTACGATATCAGGCTGCCCATTGGTTTCCTTCCAGTATTTTATTGAAGTGCTCATCAATTTGAGTGGGAAATCATTGTCTATCGATGGGAACGACTCCAAGAACTCTGGGTCTCCGAAAGATCTGATAATGGGGGCTGCCAATGCTGCAACTGGTGCAGGTAATTTCAATTTTCAACCGCATGGATCCTTTAATTCTAAAGAGAGATCGACGTACATTAACACTGACAAGTACAAAAGAATGAAGAAATTTTTACAACTTACAACAGAAGTTATTGTGGGAACTCATAGACTGAAGATTGTGACCCAGACGACTAGTAATGATGAAAGCGTTTCGCTTTCTCCAATTCGTCGTAGTTCCTCTCTGATTTCTGGCCAGTCACAATCATACTCTCAACCACCATCGGTGCCTCCGCCATTACAGTCTCAGCTTCCTCAGCCTTCAATATCTCCGGCTTTACAAGAAAGTGGTGCACGCAACTCACCTCCGATATTCAATTCATTCTCTACACCTCCTTATATCGGTGACCGCGGACCGGTCCCCGAGTACAACGAGACGACGCCATCTGGAAGCGATTCATTGATTCCATTACCTCAACAGAATCATTTGTCCGAAAAGGAACAAATGAGATTGAGAGAGGTCAGTCTTTTGCCTTCAGCTCCTCCATTGGATGACATCGAAGAAGACATTGATGGGGTTAGTCCAATTGATAGAAATGATGATATTCTCCAGCATTTGCATGAGCAAAATCAGGCAGCTAGCTTAAACGAAGAAAACCCAAATGAAAATACATTAGCCACAGGTGGCCAACCTCTGTTTTCTTACTTTGACAATGACAATACCAACGACCACAATAATGAGAACCAGAATCTAGACAATGAAGTTAATATCGATGATGATTTATATAGCGAGCTTGATTTAGTCCCCAATTATGAGTTAGCTAACAACGATAGGCTTGTTCCGCTGAGCTCTAACCAATGAAGCGAGTGCCATTGAAGTATGCATAGATATAAATTAATATACATTAAGGAGTAAGGAAATAAATAAAACTATGTAATCCATAAATAAAATAATTCTGCTCTAACTCTTACCAATCACCACCCCAATTGTCGTCATCGTCTTCTACCTTCAAATTTAATTTCAATGCAGATTTTGGCTTAGCTGCAGCGGTTTTCTTACCAAGTTTCAAGCCGCTTGATTTTCTAGGTGCCCTTGTTGAAGTATTAATTGTAGCTGGCTTCTTTGGGGTATCATCAACGACCTCATCAACAACATCCTCACCTCCCCAGGATTCATCTACATCAAAATCATTCCACGTATCGACATTGGTACTCTGATTTGTGTTGAAATTCGGAGTTTCCAAGGTTGGGGTACCTACTCTAGTTAAATCTGGCGTGGAAACGTTGAAATCATTATTCAATGTTCCCTTTGGATTCATTTTTGTAAGACCTAATCTGAACCCACCAATTCCAATGGAGTAGTCGTTACTGGATGATTCTGTAACGGATTCCGAAGAAGTAGATGTAACCGGAGCATGCTTAGCGAAAAAAATCTTTTCTTCCTCCTCTTCATCAACGTCATCTTGGGGTAAACTCGAGGCATGTTCTTCAACGCTTTGTAAGTACAAGTCAAATACTCTCCTGGCCTCAGTTCTGACTTTATGAGAATGTTCATCCATCAAGGCGATTGCTAAATGGCCCAATATCTTCCCACATATTTCATTCAACGAAAACTCCTTTATTAAGCTTTCAAACCCCGAAAGTGCCATCATTTTACAAGGAACAAAAGAGTCCTTAAGCGATTTTGAAAGTGCAGTAATTAACACATTATTCTTAGAAGTATTATAGATTTTACTCGAAATTTTGATAATCAAAACTAAAGTATTGGTTCTAATAGATGGCTTGGGGTCCATTTGTGACTTGGCTAGCACTTTCAAAAGGTCTTGGTTAACCTGCTTTACCGATACTTTATCAATGACAGTGGTTATCGACTTAAGGGTTGTTTCTCTAATCATATAGTTTGTATCTTGGAACCCAGTCAATAAATTATAGAAGATTTTATTTTGAATGTCAGACTCAGTTAAATACTTGATATAGTTATTCAAGTGATTCAATAATGACAATCTAATTGACCTATCTGGAAGAGAAAAGGCTTGTAATATGACTGGCTTAATTTGGGAGGAAAATGTCGCCTCTTCAAGATTTGCTCCAAATGTCAATATATAATTTAAGAGCACAGATATAGTCTCTTGACGTTGAGCATGTTCTTCAGGAGTAGTGTTCACAGATGGTTTGGCTTTGAAAATGTTCTGATATTGAGAAATAAGCTCAGGAAGGAGTTTAAATTCAAGGAATCCTGAAGGGAATAAATCGTCCTCTTCCTCCAGGTTATCATTACCAGTAAAAGCACCCAATTCATGCTTGAAAAAAGATAGCTTGTCATTGTCATTCTTAAACTTGAGCTCCTCCAATTCGTGGTTGAATAGCACCAACTTGTTTTGGTCGAAGTAAGTGGCAGCATCCTTCATGAATTTTTCAACTGTTGGTCTAAGACTTGACTTCTGATTAACAAGTTTCTTAGCCGAGCTGGCAAGTTGTTTTGGAACATTCTTCATGTTTTGGAGCTCTGAATTGGTGTAGTTGATAGGTGAATTTCCTTTTTGGCTGTGATTGAATACGCTGTAGATGAACACACCAAATTTGTAACTGTCTAACTTCAAAGGAAACTGCCTTATCAAGTCCAGATTTCCAATGACATCCTCAGGTAGTGACAGATCAAACCCAGGCTCCAATTTGGACAATCTGTAAATGGGTTGGTCTGGATCAGACTGTAAGTTGGTCAAGAGTTCCAATCCAAATAACTTCCAGTCCCCGGCCCTAGTCACGAACACCGAATTGGTCAAGTTCAACTTACCATGCAAGTATTGACTTTGATTGACAAGCAGCATAGCAAGCCCTATAGAATGGACCCCGAATATCTTACTGTCAGATCCAGAACCTGCCAGTTGCAGTAAGTAGGAGCTTAAGGGCACCACTGGCTCAGTAATGATGTACAAGTAGCTCTCACTCTCAATGAAGTCCACCACAGATATGATCCCTGGCAATTTAAGCATTTTGCTCTTGCGGAAGCAATTTCTGGCAAGCAGAACTAAATCTTTAGAAATATTCACTGGATCCGTTAAACTACATTCGAAAATGGCCACGGGTGCGTTGTTTGCCTTGTTCAACCCATTGTAGATAGTCCACACTGACGTGGAATCTGGGAAGCTGCCCAGTTTGGGGTCCACAATTTTCTCCTTGAACGTGTACGGGATCGAATTCCCGGTAAGCGAGCTAAAAGCTGACGAAAGAAAGTTCATCTTGTCTCTAAAATTGGACCTTTTCAACGATAAACGCCCCTGGTATCTGACTACTTATCACGTATCTGTCTTCTGGAGTGCTTTGGTTCTGTTTAAGCAAAACGCGACAGAAGAAAAAAAAAAAAATAAAAAAAAAATCGTAAATGAAAATATTGAATGGCCATACATCGTAAATTTCATGTCAAGCACTGTCTGTCACATACTCTTCTTCTGTCATACCACCACATTTATTATATATATACCTAAGCCGTTTATATTGAGCCAGACCCGTCTCATATAATATCTAAAAACTAATAGAAAAAGATTATCTGCGATGCGATGGGTGTACATCATCTTAAAAATCATATTAATTGCCTAGCCTGTATAATGTTCGAAGTACTTTCAAAGTACATCCATTGTTAGTGTATATTACCTATTCTCTTGTCTCCTGTTATTTCGATTTTCTATTTTTCTTATCTTTGTTTTTTTTTTCTTTTTTGGCCCTTGTTTTTATTCATGTTTGTATCTTAAATATCACTTATTTTGTTTCTTCCCTTACTTTGTCTTATATCCTACATCATAGCCATACTGAGGTTGTAATTGTTGTGGGGGTAATTGATGCTGCATCTGTGGAGGGGGTAGTCTCTGTAACTGTGGAGACGAGTGCTGCAGTTCCTCTTGATCGCTCCAACCGAGTTGATTCAGCTTCTTACCTCTACCTCTTATACCCTTGTTGGAGTTCTTGTATAGATCTTTGAAGTATTCTAATAAATCCTTCTCATCCGGTGGTAAATTGTTCAATTGGTCTCCCGTTAGCTCTGCCAATTTATGCGTCAATGAATTCAATGCTTCCAAATGGAATCTATTCTGATGTGACTTAAGATTACCTAGTTGCGTGAATGCCTTGTCACAACCATCCAACCTACATTCGAAAGGCTTTTCATTTTTGTGCGTAAGTAAATGAGCCGCTAAATTACCCTTTCTACTGAATGATCTGTTGCACAGTTCACAAGTGAAAGGCTTCTCTCCAGTGTGTAACCTCAAATGTGTCCTAAGATTACCACCTTGTGTGAACTTTTTATGGCAATATGAACATTCAAATGGTTTCAAGCCTATGTGAGACCGAATGTGTACATCCAAATGAGTAGCCTGGGTAAAATATTTGAAACAATATTTACATTGATGGTCTTTAGACCTTCTCTTGTTCATATGTCCCGCAGTGCCCAGGCCAACGTCATCATTGCTATCAGCTTCTTCACTAAGACGATGAACTCTTCCTGGCTTGTCAATACCACCAACCAAACCAATGGGTTGAGGAATTATTCCTGCTACCGGTCTCTGCATTCTAGACTGTTCGATAACTGTTTCAGGATTGGCGAGAATACTACCATCAGCTCCTTGAGGAATTGCTGTGCTAATTCCGTTGTCCCTTGCTTGAATAACCAACATCAATTGATCAATCTTAGTTGCTCCTAATAGCGGCCTACCATCCTCAGCTTGCACAAATTGTTGCGCTGGTACCAATGTAGGAGAAACTTGTTGTGCCAGTTGATGCAGTTGCGCAGGTCCATTGGAGCTAACTTGGTAGTTACCACCCGAAATATACCCACCGTATTGACCTCTAACTGCAGGATGTTGCTGTTGCTTGTCTATAGATTTCATTTTAACATGGAACCCACTAGGAGAAGTTTTAGGAGATTGGGGTTCATCATATCGCTTCCCAGAGGTTTTCGAAGACAAACTCGAATTTGAGGGAGACACTGGATCTATAGATCCCTCACTGATTCTCTTCTTGATATTTTGCAGTCCCTGCTGCTGATGAAGCATTTGTTGGTGTTGCTGTTGTTGTTGCGGATGGAGTTGGTGTTGTTGTCCTGGTTGCTGTTGTAATTGTTGGGAAATATTGGCACCGTACTGGGGAATTTGATTCTGATTATATATTTGGTTGCCTATACTTGGCTTATCAAAGATATCTTCACGAAGCTTTGTATAAACACCTCCCTTCTTATCCTGTCTTCCCAAGCCCTTCAAACTCTGTTGTCTTGGCGGTTGCTGTTGTTGCTGAATTGGGTAGTTCAGATCATTTAAATACTTTAATAAAGAATCTCGTCTTTCATTGTTAGACCCACTTAATTGGATACTACCATTTGATATTCCTGCTAGTATATTGCTTACACTTTCGCTACTAAGTGGGAGCCCTGCGATAGACTCGAATACCCCATGATCCCAAAGACCAGAATCAATAGAACCACGCTTAGACTTCGATAGGCTCCCACCCAGTTGCTGCTGTTGTTGTTGAGGTTGTAACAACATCTGTAGCTGCTGTTGCTGTAATTGTTGTTGTTGCCAGGAAATTGATCCACCAGGGTTTTCCTTGCTCAAAAACTCAAAGTCTTGCGGATTGAAGTTAAATTCTCCTCCTGTTAACGAAGGTAATCTAGACTTGGAGGATAAATTTCCTCCAGCAGAGAAGATATTGTTCGATATCGAGTTTGACTTGCTAGGATTTCCTCCAGAGGGACCACTAATTGAATTTTGATTTGAATTTGGGAATTGGATTATTGAATTGAAGATGGAGTTTGCACGGGAATTAAGTTGTGGGTGTTGCAGAGGAATTCCTACAGGGCCACCTGCAGCACCTGATCCTGGAACAACTCCAGGAGGAAGGCCCTGTGGTTGATCTTGCAGCAGCTGTTCAGACTGCTCATAGTCATTTCGTATCTGTGAATTGATAGGTGGTGGTAAATAGATACTGTCACCTCTGGGTCTCGACGAATTTTCAAATCCATTGGTGTTGGATCCACCAACTTGGCTCGGATTTGCTGTGGAGTCTTTTCTGTAGAAGGAAGCAAAGTTGGAATCTACCAGTAGAGATTTGCCTCCTGAAACATTTGCATAGTCATTTTTAGGATCGGACAGGTAATTGTTTACTATTGAATTGAGCAGATCATTCCTTGGTGCGTTAAATAGAAAATTTGAATTTGTCAGTGACTTCCTCGAGTTAATATTGGGTAACACCTGGCCTACACCTGTTTGTTTTGGTTGATCCTGGAGCTGCTGGAGATGCTGTTGTGCCAGCTGTTGAATTTGCGGTGACTGCTGCGCCTGCAGTTGAGGAGTATCCACTTTAACAGCCTTGATATCGTTGTTTGGTGGCATGTTCTTCGGAACGTCGGAACTGGGAGGGAGTTTCGATCCTCTGATACCAGAGCTGCCGCTTGAGTTTGATGAAGAATCTCTGTTCCTCTGGGTTACAACAGATTTTCCCATGAGGAATTAAAAATGAATTGAAAGCCAAAAGCTAAAAAAAGGGACTACTTAAAAAAAGTTGAAAGAAATCTAAGCCGGAACCTTAAATGAAAGTTGGGTTTCGAAATAGTGTCTCAACAGCTAAAATCAGTGTAATTGATGTGTTGTTGTTATTTTGCTCACGTACTGGTTGCAGTGTAGTCAACGTGCGATCAATTAACTTGGTTGTGACAATGTTTGTTTGAGTTAGCTGCTTATTCGTTTAAATTGTAAGTCCGGGGAATGATTTAAAACTATATACCTCCTTAAGCCAGCTCAAAAAAAAGATATACGCCTAGAATCACCTGGATACAATTGTGATGGAAATTTTTAAGCGCAACACAAGTAATGGCTATATTGAGAAGTGGGTTCAATAGACAAATACTGGTTGTTGTTGTGATGAGTATCTCCCTAACTGTATTTATTTATTTTCCGGGGGTTTGGGGGTTTTCTGCGGGTTTCCAATTTATTTCGTATCACTTGCTGTGAACGAAAAATCAAATCCCCTTTTCAAAACCAACGTAAACAGAAGTTGTTTTGTTTGACTATCCAGATTACAATATTGGAGTTGTATTTTCCTATGTAGCTCTGGTTTTGTGTGTCTCACGTTTTCCTGCTTCCTGGCCTTAGACTATGAAGTATTTTTTAATTTTTTCTTTTTTCCTTTTGAATCTATGTTTAGTGTTTAACAATTGTTTCTTTTTTTGTATTATTATTTATTCTGACTTGAGTTTTTAATTTTTATTTTTTGTCCAAATTGGTCCTGCATGCAGGGTCTTTGGAGATTAGGTAGGTAATTTAAATTGGATGACTTCATTGTCATGCATTGCCTGCACTGCTGTCGGAGTGGGACGCTCGGAAAAATGGTATTGCGTCACAAAAGCGGAGATAGATCTGTGAGAAAGGTTGCAGACTGGACCCTCTGCGTTCAAGGAGCAAATGGTACGAAGGGTAGAGTTAACTGTGGAGGGTCATGTGCTGGGTTGGTTAGTGGGGAGCTCATTTCTTCTCTCTTTGATTTCATATTTGTATATTGCTTTTGCTTTGAAGAAAGAAGGGAAACAAAAGAATGGAAGTTCTGCAATAGTCCTAAAATAGTCTTACACAAGTCCTATATATAGTTGGTGATGATTATAATGGACTAAAAGGATCAGTGGCTACTACGATAGAGAATTCTACTCTCTTTACTTTCTTTTCTTTTTCTTTTTCTTTTTTCATTTTACTTTTCTGAAAAGAAGATATCTAAACGAGGGGAGGTATTACATTTACATTAGTTTTTAAGAAAATGATGATAATAATTATCTTATATTACTTAGCAATTCTTTGCTCAATGACTCTAACCATTTCTCCCAAACAGTTTTCCAATTTATCTATGTCGGTCTTTTGATGTGGAGCTTTTATATATACCGAAGGTCTCACTCCTGTCTCACTGTCATCGTATACAATCCCATGCACTTTGTCCATGAAAATGGTTAAAAGTTTTAAAACCCTGGCAAATTTATTTATCGCAATTGGTAAAGTAGCCAAATCTCCCGTTAATAACGTAAGCATGATGTTTTTAAGTAAATTGCTAAGTTCGAATTTATTCAAATTATCAATTTCATCAAGCTTAAACTTCATATAGTGCAGTCTGAATTGGGGCTCGATTGTCTCCATGGATATTAACTTCCTTTGATCACCCACTTCTTGGTCCAGTTGTTCTATTATCGTTGTCCTCTCATTTGATAAGATTTCCTCCCCCTTTACTGGAGTTTCAGGGATCACCGTATCCTTCTTCCGGAGAAAATTAATCTCGTTGTTAAGTTCGGTATTATGCACTTTAGAATTACTCAACTTATTCCTCAAGTTTATGTTTTCTTTCATTAATAAATCAATTTTGGCCTGCAAAGTTTCTGATTTATCATGCTTGGAACTCATACTATCCAATTTATTTTCCTCCTCTTTCATTAAGTTAATTTCAAGTTCTCCATTTAGTACTCTCAAATTCAAGTTTTCGTCCTTTAAGTTTTCCAATTGTTCGTCTTTCTGAATAGCTAGTTTTTCTAATTGATTTTTCAATTGTGAAATCTCAATTTGATGCCTTTCTTCCATCTGCCTTTGAACTTTTTCTAAATTTTGAACTTGATGTATTAATTCCAATTGTGGAACAATGGCGTGTCGGTCCTCCAAATCTGGCGAGCTTAACTTTGATTTCACACTTTTAGGTACATAACTAGTATCAAAGTCGGTGTCTGACTGTGAAACTGATACTGATACTGATACCGAATCAGACTCAGTATCTGGGTGGTCCGAAAGCGATATAGCTGGAATTGCAGCCAGACTACCCGATTTATGCTCGGCTATATGATCTTGAGACGTTGGTGGAGTAGTATCTGGAGATTGACCTGCCTGATTACTATTCTCGTTCTCACTTCCAACGCTCTCGTTCTCTTTCTCTTGAACTTCATCAATCGATCTTAAAACGCCATTCTTGGGGTTCAGACCCACGAGCCTGTTTATGTACAGTCTTAATTCTTCATTTACCAACGGTTGGTACAACTTAAACAACTTTTCAGTTTCGTTAGGGGTGTGTGATTTTTTATGGCGATCTGCAGTTAAAGGGGTGGAGTGCGATGGATATGCAGAAGTATTGGGAAGGTCACTTTCGAATTTAGTGTCTGGCTCTTCACTTGGAACTGGTCTACTCTCATCGATCCTGCGCACAAGTTCCATGAGTAACGAAGAGTCGGCTGGGATGGTATTCTCTAAATCGCTGAATTCTTCATCACCTAGTGGTTCGTCTGATGTGAGGTATAGGAAAGATTCAGTTGGATACTGGGAAATATCATAATCAAGCCCATTCGGGAGATCTGTAGTTAGATCAAGCGTCGTCATGTATGTGCAGAAGCGAAGTGTCAGGCAAAATGTATGGATTTTTATTTCCTACTGTTTCTTCTTTTCCTTTTCTGCTCTTTAGCGTAAACTTCCAGTCTCTTTGAGTGGAAAAACAACTTTAGCAATAACAAGCCACTAACAACTTTGCTGATCTCTTTGTAGTCGAACTCTGTGCCATTGAACCTCATATTTATTTTGTAAACAAACAAAAACGCCTAGCGCTGCTTTGCTTGTGAGCAAGAGCTTGTATGCAGTCGCATCATGAAGTTCTTCAATTAATTTTTTTTTTCTCATCAGCACAAGTTTTTCATTGAGATGAACCCTACTACTTACTACTTACACCAACGAGAACACCGATAGCACAATAATATGTCTGAAGATACTCCAATGGCTGACGTTACTGTCGAAAAGGAACAAGAACAAGAAGTTGACTTGGAAAAGGTTAAGCTCTTGCCAGGATCCTCTGACGATGGGGCTGCTGCTTCTTTTCAAGTGATAGATGAAGATCACACCTTAGGAAATGCCTTACGTTACATAATAATGAAAAACCCGGAAGTAGAATTTTGCGGATATTCTATTCCACATCCTTCTGAAAATAAATTGAACATCAGAATACAGACATATGGTAACATAACGGCTGTGGAAGCATTACATCAGGGTTTAGATAACTTAAGTGAGATGTGCACTGTTGTAGAAGAGAAGTTCAGTGAGAAAATCCAAGCTGGTAACTACAACACTGTTGCTCCATAAGAAAAATACATAAGCAGAATACTTGAGAAAACAGTAGAAACTAAGCCTTAGCTGAAGAAAATGAACCATAACAAGAATTCGTATTCATATGAATAGATTCATGAATGCATACATACATATATATATATATATACATACATAAAGAACAAAAATTACCTAATAGAATTGTATAATATTGATTAATAACCATGTAGAACCAATTAGTGTATGTGTATCTCCCCTTACCTGCTACTTTCCCAATTGGGAAGTCTAGATATTTTTTTTGCGATGGGCTGCTCCAAATATTTCTTTTTTTAAATTTTTTTTTTTTTCGCCTCTAACAAATTTTCATATAAAGAGTCCCCCCTTTCCCCCATCTCATTGCAAAAAATTAGAGGTCTTTTTCCTAGTATACAAAGTTTCCTATATTTAAAGAAATTATTACACAGAAAATGTCTTACGGAGGAAATTACGACGGTGGTTACACCAACAACTCATACGGTGGAGGAAACTCCTACGGTGGTGGTAACTCTTACGGTGGAGGTAGAAACCAAGGTGGCTTTGACCGTGGTTACGGTGGCGGAAGAGGTGGATACGGTGGTAGAGGTGGATACCAACAAGAAAGAATTGAATTGACCACCCCAGACTGGGACTTGGAAAGTTTACCAAAATTCGAAAAGAACTTCTATTCTGAACATCCAGATGTCCAAAATAGATCCGATAGTGACGTTAAGAAATTCAGAACTGAACATCAAATGACCATTTTGGGTAACGATATCCCTCACCCAATCACCACCTTTGACGAAGCTGGATTTCCAGACTACGTTTTATCTGAGGTTAAAAACCAGGGATTCCCAAGTCCAACTGCTATTCAATGTCAAGGTTGGCCAATGGCCCTTTCTGGTAGAGATATGGTCGGTATTGCTGCCACTGGTTCTGGTAAGACTTTGTCTTACTGTCTTCCAGCTATTGTGCATATCAATGCTCAACCATTATTGTCTCCAGGTGATGGTCCAATTGTCCTCGTCTTGGCTCCAACTAGAGAATTGGCTGTTCAAATTCAATCTGAATGCTCCAAGTTCGGTAAGTCTTCAAGAATTAGAAACACTTGTGTCTATGGTGGTGCTCCAAAGAGTCAACAAATCAGAGATCTTGCCAGAGGTAGTGAAATCGTCATTGCCACTCCAGGTAGATTAATTGATATGTTAGAATCTGGAAAGACCAACTTGAGAAGAGTTACCTACTTGGTGTTAGATGAAGCTGATAGAATGTTGGATATGGGTTTTGAACCACAAATCAGAAAAATTATTGATCAAATTAGACCTGATAAGCAAACTTTGATGTGGTCCGCTACTTGGCCAAAGGAAGTCCAAGCCTTGACCAGAGATTACTTGAATGATCCTATTCAAGTTACTGTTGGTTCTTTGGAATTGGCTGCTTCTCACACTATTACTCAATTAGTTGAAGTTGTCACTGAATTTGAAAAGCGTGACAGATTAGTTAAGCACTTGGAAACTGCTACTTCAGACCCAGAAGCTAAGTGTTTGATTTTCGCATCCACTAAGAGAATGTGTGACGAAATCACATCTTACTTGAGAGCTGATGGATGGCCTGCATTAGCCATTCACGGTGACAAGGCACAAAATGAAAGAGACTGGGTCTTGAAGGAATTCAGATCTGGTAAGAGTCCTATCATGGTTGCAACTGATGTTGCCGCCAGAGGTATTGGTATGTATACAGTATAGAAAGCTTAGCTGGCTAAGTTTTTTATTTTTATTTTCAATTTTATTATATCAAGTGAATTGAATTCACTTGTTTTTTTTTACTTACATGGGTTTAGGACTTATTTGGAAGAGAGAGGAAAGGAAAGGAAAGGAAATGCAAGAAGATCTATTAATGATGCTTCTTTTCGATTTTTTACTTTTTTTTTTTGATTTTTTTTGATTTTTTTTTTTAATAATGTGATGTGTCTTGATCCTTAGAATTGAATTCTAAGACTCTTATTGGTGATTCAGTAAGACATTATCTAGAAGACCATCTCTCATTTTGACATATTCAGTTGCCAAAAGAGATTACGTGAGGGGAGTGAGAATGTTTGTGTGTGGGAAAATTTAAGTAGAGCAGTGTACTACTGCTTTATTAGATTCAATACCACTGCCACCAGGATTCATGAAAAATTTGGAAGCATGCAGCAAGAAATTAATTATTAGAATACACTACTTCAATGCGAAGTGGTTGAATAGAGACTCGATTAATACAGCCTTTTTGAGTCCATCTAATAATATGAAATGAGGTTATTTTACTTCTATCGTTTTTTGCTTTCTAGATTTTTAATAAATGATGAAATTCTCCTAAAAATGAAAGAGCAGTCTCTTTTTGATCATGTGTTTCTTTTGTAGTGAAGACTAGTCTAAATGTAGATTAAGAAGGAAAGGCAAATCCCAGGTAGTCCGTAAACTTTGTGAAGGAGGATGTCTTCAAGTATCTCTATATAAACTTTTTGACCAACATTATACTAACTTTTTATAGATGTTAAGGGTATTTCCTTTGTTATTAACTTAGATATGCCAGGTAATATCGAAGATTACGTTCATCGTATTGGTAGAACTGGTAGAGCTGGTACTAAGGGTACTGCTGTCTCATTCTTCACCCAAGATAACTCCAAGCTTGGTGGAGATTTATGTAAGATCATGAGAGAAGCTAACCAGACCATCCCACCTGAATTACAAGCATTTGACAGAAGAAGCTTTGGATCTCACATTAGATATGGTAGAGGTAGAGGTGGTTACGGTGGTAGAGGTGGAAGAGGCGGAAGAGGTGGAAGAGGTGGAAGAGGTGGACGTAACTTTCAAACTGGTTCCAACACTGCTCCTATGGCTAACCGTCGTTTCTAAGCGAGCTTTTGGCGCTCGCGTACATTTCAATATTGTACTTTAGTTTTGATTATTTAATTTATTTATAGAATATATTTGTTAAGAGGATATGAAAATGTTGCATGAAAACTAAAGGCAACAGTGTAGAATTCTCTCCACTAATTGCAATAGGTAAAGATTAGACTCAGTTTCATTGTAGCATTATTACCCTAACCGATGTTGATTCCAGCCGTTTCATCACTGTGCTGGGTTTTCGTGGCACATTTGAATCACAACAACTGGCACCCTGATTTCGCGCATATTGATCATTTATGCGCATAAGGGCTTTTTTTTAGCAGGAACATCACGTACAGAAGTCTCAAGATTCTTCCAGAAGAAGTTATGATGTTCCAAGAATTTGACCTCAAGGTAGCCCTTGAGCTCCAGTAACGACTTAAATGAACTTTTACAACTGCCATAGCCTTATAAACCCTCTTCTTTTGGTTATTTCTTTCACTTCTTCATACAGTTTTGGTCCATTTTTCAATCCTGCCAATCATTTAAGCTTTACTTAAAAGGGAATGTGAATAATATCTGCACTGTGACTTTAATTTTTTATTTTTTTTCCTACCCTTTTTTTTCAACTCAAACTCAAATTAAAGTAGTACTGGAAGGATCATCAATAAGTGCTCACACCAATTCTTGCAGTTTAGACCAAACGCTTTTCTTAACCTCGCTACTGCATTGAGCCACCCCTCCTCTCCTCCCCCACAGAAAAAAAAAAGGTTAGAAGAAAATTTATCGTAACCAAAGTAAGACGAGATTGGTAGATAACATGGTACAAAGTGAGGAACAATCTACAAACTTAACATCTTCCATGAACCACTCAGTCTCACATAACAGTCTGGTAACAGGCATCAAACCGACGTCAAGTAACTCAGCAAATGCCGCTAATAAACGTAGAAGAGTCACAAGAGCTTGTGATGAATGTAGAAAAAAGAAAGTCAAGTGTGATGGTAAACAGCCCTGCCTTCACTGCACGGTGTATTCGTACAATTGTACTTATCAAAGTCCAAACACTCGTAACAAGAAATCCGCCATTGCTCCAGAAAAACAAACGCTATCTATGATTACTGCCGCCGTGAATCAACACCACAATCAACACAATCAACAGGCAAATCTGTGGGCACAGCCATTCAAATCACCCCAACAATCTCAGTCTGAGATATCTGACAGGAATGCAGTATATAAAAACATCATCAAGTTGATGTTTCCCAAACTTAACTTCGATGAAGATCAACTGAACATTGCCTCCTTAATGAAATTGGAAAAATTTGAAAAGGTAATAACGTATTTGACTAAATTGAAGGGCCCTGGCGAGTCAATTAATATTCAAGAAATTACCAATTTGTATATGGATGGGCAATCTCCTTTGAAAGCTGAGAGAATGGAACGGCAGTCGTCAGTCTCCTCGGTGGATGACCAAATCTCTGTGACCTCTAATTCCATTGGACGTGAGATTAAAATAATCCTACCTTCGAAAGAAGTTGCTCTAAAATTGATCTACACAACGTGGAATGAAGCGTGTGTTTTGTTTAGATTCTACCATAGGCCTTCATTGCTTGAAGAAGTTGATTTACTCTACAGCATAGAGCCTATAAATTATACTGATAGACAACAAAAGTTCTTGCCCTTCATGTATAGTATATTGGCGTGTGGGCTGTTGTTTTCCAAACTGATGACTCCTCCCTCATCAAATCAAGGAAGCCAAAGTGAAAAACTGGCTGCCACTGCCGAAGCAGCTGCCGCAGCGAATAGTAATGAAAGTCTTGAAGATGACGGGTTCCGCTACTTTATGGAAGCCAGGAAGCTAATCGATATTACTAATGTGGGTGACATTATATCTATCCAAACTATTGTTATGATGGTTTTATACTTACAGTGTTCTGCAAGGTTATCCACTTGCTACTCCTATATTGGTATTGCTCTCAGAAGTGCATTGAAAGAAGGATTACATAGAAATTTGTCCATTTTCCAAAATGCAAAGAATAAATTAACTCCAATTGAAATTGATACAAGGAAAAGACTTTTTTACACAATTTATAAGATGGACATTTATATCAACTCTTTATTGGGGCTACCAAGGTCTATTAATGAAGACGAGTTTGACCAAGAATTCCCTGAAGAGTTGGATGACGAAAACATAACGGTAGATTCTTTCAATTATGAAGAGCAGCAGGGAAGGTTGTCGTCAGCAGGATGTGCTAACCATCATACCAAATTAATGTTGATTATCAGTCATATTGTGAGAGACTTGTACCCTATTAAATTGCATAAGAAAGGTGGTCTGGTAAGTGGCGCTGGGTCGATTCCTGGCGAGAGACACGGAGTCGACAGGCTAACCCCTGAGTATACACATTCCAAAGTCACTGAAATTGAATTAGAATTAAAGTTGTGGCTTGATAATTTACCACTGGAATTAAAGCCTACTGACCCCAATGTTTCTGATTCTGGAAAACATATTCCTAAGAAATTCCTACTTGCTAATTGTTATCTACACCTTGCATTCCTTAATTGTCAGATTATGCTCTATAGACCTTTTATTCATTTCATTAGCAATGGAACTATAAACAGGAAATCAGATCCGAGATCTCTAATCAGGGGAAGAAATTGCATAAAAGTTGCAAGAATGGTTGTGAAGCTAGCAAACAAAATGATTGATCAAAATTTACTCATAGGTACATACTGGTTTTCGATGTACACTATTTTCTTTTCAATTGCGTGCTTGATTTATTATTTTCATTTTGCTAATTACACTAACAATAATAACAGCACTACAGCTGGTGTCAATTATGCAGGTGTTTTATTCGATGACGATTTAAATATTGATATGATCAAGAAAGATATTGAAATTGGGAAAAAAGTGTTAGATTGTTTAAAGAATAACTCCAATTCTTCTTTGAGAATCTTCAATATTTTGAAGAATTTATTTGAACAATTGAATAGAAGGACTGCGACCAATTCTAAGGATAAAAATGGCAACGAGCCAATAATACATGGAAATGAGAATGCAGCTGCCGAACATTTCGAACAAGAGAGGAAGCAATCACCTATGAAGGACATGAAAGTAGAGTCGACATTCATTAATTTCGATTCCATGAATAACTTTAATTCGATTGATAATCCACCTAGGAAAAGATCAATGTCAGCATACTTCAATCCAACTTTCAGCTTGGACACCAATGAAAACTTTAAAGTGGAGAACGACATCGAGCCTGCAGTAACAAAGCCTAATAAACCTCATCCTCTATCTCAAAGCGTGTTAAATTCGACCAAAGACTCGTCAAACCGGAGCCTGGCGCTTCCCACTGCAGCAACTTCTTCATACTCCGATGACAATCTTTCTACTGATGATTATATGCCGGGGGTAATTGATAAGCTTGATGCACAAATCTTTGGTAGAATTCTCCCACCTTATATGCTTGAGAAGAATGCCAAGATTGCTGCTGCGGTTAATGGACATTCCAATTTTAATTCCAGAATGAATTCTAACTCTGCTTCTAACGTGGATATACAGTCATTTGACAATGAACAAGGATTTGATGATGCCAACGTTGATTTGGATCAATTTGACTTTGGCCAGCTTGAGAATTTGATGTTTGATAATACGATTGATCAATTGGATCCATTTAATCCACAATATAGCCAACAGGCTTCTCCTGGACGCTGATTATATATTAATAAAAAAAGTTAGAGTAGTTTTAAGGGAAATATTCATGTATATTTAAAGGCTTCCTCTTTCTATCAATTTCCATTCTCTGAATAGCCTATGGCTGCAATTAGAAATGCCAGAGCACTGCACATGAAAAATTTATGAATTTTTTTTTTTACTCTAAAGATTCTGAAGTGCTGCACATAGTACAGTATGATATGATGAGCTTCAGTGATGCTACTAAAGAATTATTCTATCATATATAGAGAAGCTATCTTCTTTCAATAATTAACTGAACATGAACGTAACTGATAGAAGACGGTTGTTGGGACCTTCGAATGCTAAATCGGCAAACATTCCAGAAACAAGAACTTCTTCTCCCAGCAAAAGATCGGAAGATGAGATTAGAAAAATGTTTTTGAAGACTGGCTTGGTGGGAAATGCAAATGGTTCAGCATACTTGGAAGTTGACGACACAATAATCGAGGTTTCAGTATTTGGCCCTAGACCTATTAAGGGTTCATTCATAGACAGAGCATCTTTCTCTGTTGAATGTAAGTTCTTACCTCATATCCCTCAACCCAATGAAGAGACATTCAAGAATCAGTCTGGATCTGCTTCTAACGTTCGTACTGGTTTAACTACTGTTGAACAAAAACTTTCATCATACATAGAGACTGCATTTTTGCACTCAATTATATTGGAAAAATACCCTAAATCTACTATTGACGTATTTGTCACAATAATATCGGCTGATACTACCTCGAGTTCTAACAAATCCCTACTCAATTTGTGTAATTGGGTTTCAAACTGTACCTCGTTGGCATTGGTGGACTCTGGCATAGAAGTAAAGGATATGGTTACGAGTGGGCAAGTAAGCTTGAACAAATCCACGAACAAAATTCTCATGGATCCAGATTATTCTAATAACTATTCTGAAGATGATAGTGTAGATTGTGTCTGTAGCTATATGAATATGTTGAATGATGTGGTGGTTGGCTTTTGGATCGATGGAAACCAGGATGATCTCGACGAACAGACCATGCAAAAGCTATTTGAAAATTGTAATGGAATGTCAAAGAAGATAAGAAGTAATTTTAATTCTTACTTGAGAGGTACAATAGAATAAGGAAAGAGGTTTTAAAATGTAACTGTATATTTTTAATTTAGTACTATAATACAAATAAAATAATACTAGTCATAGAACATTCGAGTAGCTAGTTGGAACTAAATGTCTTTTTTTTCGATAGTAATAATACTATTAGAATTGTAACTCAATTCATCTAAAACTCTTTTTATTTTGATGAGCTTATCGCTTAGTTTATGAATGGTAAGCTGATTATCGTCATTGAAGAAAATCTTCGAATTAATTTTAATATCTGTTGCCAAAGAAATCATTAAAGCGAGCCTATCGTATGTTTTAATAAACTCTTCAATCACTGAGTCATTGATGCTAGCATCAATTGAAGGTATGCTCCGTTTTGTCAATATTTTATCAAAGACATGAGACTTTAAATCCGCAGCCAAAGCCTCAGGAGTGGTGGTAGCAGTCACATCAATGTTAATTGATTTGATTTCAAACGGCTCTGAAATATAAGCAACATCATGTTTACCTTCTAAGTGGTATCTAAACTCATACACTCCTTCTTCCCAGAATAGTTTTTCTTCGGAGAAAAAGCCAGATCCTGACTTACCTGTACACCAAATCCATTTGCCTGAGGATGAGATAAGTGTCTTATTACGAGAGTAAGAAGTTTGAGACACCCTATACAACCCAATCCAGTCTCCTTTCTTGTCTCCTTCTATCTCTTCCTTTACTGGAGAATTCCACTCGATTTGAATTGGCTCTCCAATATTTATGTATTTGAAGCTGTTGATTTCATCTATATTATCAATCAAGTTAACAACCTTAATCTTATATTCTGAATTTTCGAAGTATAAACCTTGGGATAGCTCTAGAATCTTCTTGTTACTTAATTTGGAGTTTTTACTTCTTAATTCCTTGATAAAGTGATCTAATGAGTTCGTAATCGAAGACTTTCTTCTCAAGTTAGATTTCTGATCTCTCCTTTGTAAAACATCAGGAATCAAGTGTTTCTTGATAGTTTTAGTAACACCAGAATCCTTCATTACTTCTTGTTCTCCGTAAACTTTAATCATATGCAACTTTTCAATAAAATTGATCCTGAAAAAGTTGTTTCCTACCCACAACACACATGCTGCAACGTTTTCAAAGCAGGGGCAGATCAAAGTAACACCGAAAATTCCACAAACTCCAAAAATTTGTTCAGGATTGTTTAAATATCTATAAATACCAGCCTTTGTTAACTGAGAACCTCTCTGAGGTAAGGCAAGAGACCTAGGGATAAAGAAATCACCGTAGAACCATCCAAAGTATCCAATCTGGTCGATGATAGACGAATTAATCCAAAATTGTGTGAAAATAAGTAATACACCGACAAATATCCTCAAGTAGAGGTAATCTTGGAAATAAAGATCAACACCATTGAAATAAAAGAAGAAATTAAGTCCAAAGAATGATGAGTAAGTCAACAAAATCAAAGAATTGTAAAATGTAGCGAAATTATTGAGTGATTTTTCTACTGGAATGTCATTGGAAATGCAGAATTTAGTAAAAGTCTTGTAGTAGGATTGCAAGATCAAAAGTGTATTGATTGATACTGACTCAAACATTTTAATTGAGACAGTCAATCCGAAGAGAATATTGCTGGGAGTGAAAAAGCGGTTCTCCGACTTGAAAAGCCCAAGAATAAAGCTTCTTCCAGTGTTCCCATTCTCATTGATTGTGCTTGCTGATACAAATAAAGGGATTAATAAACCATATGTGACGCTCAAAATTAGACTGACCAAATCTGTTGATCTTAACCAGTTCAAGTTAAATAATCCAACTAGCGGTTTCAAATTATCGAAGTGCTTTAAATCTTTCAATTTTAACAATTGTTCCAAATCGGCATTTTCTTCCATTCCATAAATCTTATCAATATGTGGATTCTCAATATAATGCAAAAAGATCATCTGTAAAAAGTGACCAAATAAGGAAACAACCAAAACTGTGTACGATTTAGAAATAAGGGCAAACCCGTAGTAACCAATATAGCCAACTGAATACATAGGATGTGGAAACATTTCAAAAACCCCGTCAAAAATCAATTCTTCATTATTTATTTGTCTGAAAAAGAAGTCACCCCAATACCAAGCATAATCTTTTATTGTATTATGAGCATTAACTTTGACCCAAAGGTTGAATAATATGAAAGATACTCCAATAACAAATCTACTGACCACAATCCATAAACTTTGCTGTTGGATATTGATAAACTGGTAATCCTTATCGATTGAACATGAAACTACCAAACAAATAAAAGTAGTGAAGTCCAGCATAAGAATCAAGTCAACCACTTTACGGAATAATAACCAGGTATTAAATTCATCAGGGTAGGCGCTAATGTCATATTTCTCTCCCATTTGAGACTTGATCTCAGCTTGGCAGAATTTCCCTAGTGTTGAAGTTTTGGATTCGAATATCTTACCATTTTGAGTCCACTTAACTAGCCTCTGGTGATTTGACTGCTGATTCAATAAAAATCCAATACCAAAGTTATAACTAAATCTCCAAAACAAGTATAAGCAGATGAATATCTTGACTCTAGCAGAATTCGAATCCACCAACCAAAATACCAAGGCATTTGATGCGAGTAAGGCCACAATAATCTTTTCACAGTTGGATTTTCTGATTGAAACGTCAAATAGAGTCTTTACCATATCGTAGGTTTCAGGTACAACGAAAGTATCACCAGAAAAAGTAATCCCCTTTGAACCGGCAATGGTATTTTTTGTCTTAGTCGCCGTCATAATGAGTGAATAGATTAGAATAAGTCCAAAAACGATAGAATAATTACTTGTGTTCTACTTTTGATCTATAGTCATAAATTAGTGTAGAAAAGAAATTCTGACAAATCGTAGAAAAAAAAAATGACGTCTTATCTTATCAGTTGATGACAAGATCAAGTAACTAGAGAATGATGGCTCTGCTCTTAGCTAAAATGTGATTTTAAAAGAAAGAAAGAGAAGGAAGGGAAAAGGAAAAGGAAAAGGAGAAAGGAAAAAATAAAACCTATCAACATCCAAAGAAATTAGGGTACTATATATACTTTGGAAAATGTCCGTAAAATCTGGAGGTCAATAATTTTTCTCCATAACGGTTGCAAAGGTTGGGACGCTCGCATGAGCTTAAAAAGCGAGAAGCATGTGATTTTGCAAAAATTCAAAAAAAATGTTGCATTCGCCACAGTGAATCATGGAGAAGTGCGTTAAGTTGAGATCGAAGATGAACAGAACAGCTAAGAGAAGAAGTGTTGTATGTGGTTCAAGACTTCCTTCGAGATTAGGTAACTATAAATAAAGTTCTTTTAGTGAGTTTGTAGGAATCTAGGCAGCTCAGATTGATTACCTGAGTGGATCTTCGGATTTAAACCGGTGTAATCTTTTGCGTGTGCGAGCTCTGGATCTGTATGTGCCTTCACTAATTTATTATTTTCCAGGTGCGATTCACCCAACTGGTGAGCCAATAGTTGTTCGTTCTGGCTTTCCATGACTACCACCCTACAGTTCTTCACCGTGTTTACTAGAGCAATGGGTTCATTATATGTTAATTATTAAATTAAGCTCGTTAAATAATCGTTATATACATTATGGAATATACAATCCTCTTTTTTTGCAGAGTTATGCTGTCTCTTTTATTATCTATTTCACCTGTGCCTTAAATCTTTCGTCAGCACTTAGGTGCTTATTTTCCAGGGGCTTACCAGTGCGTAATTTGACATATAATTCCGTCTAGCTTGGCGCGTTGAAATTCCATCAATACGCAGGTGACCTCTTCTTACAAGACAAACTTCTGCTCAATTCTCTACCTTATTGGTGAATTTGATCGGCTTTTCAAGTAAATGCCCCATTCTTTCAATCTTTGTACTAAGATATCCTTCAATTTCTGTTGATTTTATTCCGTCTCCTTTATTTCTCCAAGACAATGGAATCATAGGTACTCTTTCTATAACCTTAACTTCTCTATTTTTTCCCTCAACTGCCAAAATCTTATCTGGGTTGTTTGTAAGTAACTTTATGTCGCTTAAACCCAAGTCCAATAAAATAGCAGTAGCTAATGAAAATGATCTACCATCAGCTGGGTGTCTTAATATTAAATTGGCCTGTACCGTGTCGGCACCTAAATCTTGTAAATTGTACGCCTTCAACTTTTCTCCTAGCCCAATTCCACGTCCTTCTTGTCTAAGATATACGATGCAACCATGCCCATTTGACCCCATGATTCTACCTGCCTCGTCAAATTGCTCACCACAGTCGCATCTAGCAGACCATGCGGTTTCTCCTGTGTAGCACTCAGAGTGTATCCTAGTTAGGCACGCTTCTTTGTGTTTCGAGCTGTACGTTGTATCTGACTCCCTTATAAGATCTCCAATTTCATTGAAATGCAACTGTTTCTCCGATTTCGGATCAACGTCGGCATCATGTCTCCCTGGGTATAGCTTTCCTACGTAGGCTCCTCTAGTCATTCTATCCTGCTGCAGTTCGCCCAGTCTCTTTGCAAACAAGGTCTTCGAACGTATATCTTCACCGAATACTATAGCCAAGTGCTCCTTTTGGTCGATATTGTTCTCGTACAAGTGTAAAAATATTTCAGGTCCATGAGTTGTGGGGATTCGCGCCCTGGCAATACATTTAACTATAGGTAAGTTTTCGTCATGAATGGGCAAGTTTTGTCTCATTGCGTCTGAGATTACTGGAGGTGCTTCACCGGCACCATCTATAGGTGTTTGAGCTCTAGAGGACGAGTATGAAATCATTGGTGAAATTAATGGCATGTTCTCAAACAGCGAAACGTTGGGTCTGGCTGGAGATACAGGAACAGGCATGCTGGGACTACTTTGGGAATTATTATTATTAGTGTTGGTTTTAGTATTATTATCGTTTGGTGACATTTTGGTTTAGCTGTCGACTGGGATAGTTCCGCTATATATCGTGAAGTTTCCCAAAAAAAAAAAAGATTATTTATGAAGAAATATAATGTAATCAGTTCTCGGTATTACTAATTTTTTCATATGACCAAATTTTTAGTAAAAAATCAAAAAAAAATTGGTGATAAATTTGAGAAGTGAAATTTCATTAGCGAGGGAAAAAGAAAGCGGAAAGCAGCGCCAAAGACAATGAGATCGATTTTGGGGCATGAGGAATGATATTGGGGAAGATAGTTACTGAAAGTGCACTGGAAGAAAGAATGCTAACAAAATTCATTCAATGGTTCCACTTCTGGAATTAGGCTTAGCAAAGCATGAGTGGCACATATGTATTGTTGCTTGTGCTGTGCTCTCCTTCGCTATATCAAGTACTTCTATATGCAAAACTGGAGAGTCACCAGCGGAATTAATGGCTACATTGCGTGCTAAATTCGTGCTCCGTATTTTAAGCTCCGCTGGGCGGCTGTAACTTAGCTGCGAGCTACAGTTGTGAGATTCAATGGAGTATAGACTGAGGGAGATGATTTGGCTGTAACCATCTGGATAATAATGCAAATATTGCACAATTTGAAGGCAGACGAACTTCAAGATTGATAAAAGGATTCCAGAATTCATGGTCCTCTATTTTGAGCTGCGCTGCATTGGTTTATTTAAATTACTGGAGTTTGAGCTGAAGTGGCCAATTTGTAAGACATAAATATTTATATCAAAAATTGAAAGATACGATTGCTGCACAAATCGAAACCTGATCTCCTCTAAATAAATGACCTTTGATCCCTAATCTCGGATTTCTGCTTCTCTTTGATACCAGGGAGCCCTCCTGTCTCAGCCTATCTACTCTGTTCCCCCAAGTTCTCCTACATACATGTTCGCACTTCCATTGCATAAGTGTTGCATAATGGAAAATGGAAGAAAACAAGAACGCGGCAAACTTGCAACTTTTAGATTGCTCTTTCTTTAGCCAGTTCTTCGAAACATGTCACAATTAGCTACTAAATCTGCCTTCAATAGGAAAATCGTGCTAGGATCTGCTGCTGTAGCGGTAGTTTCCTCTCAATTCTTCTTTTTCGGTGGCTGGAAAAATAGGAAAATCATCTATCCACCGACTGATATTACCACCAAGAATAGATTGTTCCCAACGTATGTGAATAACCGAGGTGAATTGCACGATTTGTTACTTTTCAAGGAGCCATTGATCTTGAATTTCACTATTATGGCCGAGGAAAGGTCCAATAAGCTTACTCTGTCGTTATTCCAACTCTTGGGGTATAAGGAAAACTACCCTGATGCCAGTAAGCCCTGTAATTTGGCGAGCATCTCAAGTGACAGTGAAGAAGGAAGAGAAATGATGCTCACTTACGGTGTGAACACCTTACCATCATTGGTTTGTCTTCATAACCAAATTCCAGTAGGCAGGTACAACTTCAAAGGTGAAGAGGTTGACGAAAAGGAATTGAAATCGTGGATAGCTGAGCAAACAAAGTAGCACAGCTACCTCTACTCTCTCTCTCTCTCTCTCTCCTCTCTGTCTCTGAACTACTTAATGTCTATTATATTTTGCATAGGTAATATATATATAATTTTATGTACATGTAGAAATGATTCATCTATTTACAGTAAGCTATTCGCATCTACCATCTTTCCAACCATCCTTCCACCTTTGTTTCCATAAGTTGCAATCAAAGTTTTGTTTGCCTAGCTTAGTGTTCACTTCATTGTGCGCTTCGCATAACCATTTCCCAAAGTCGTCTTGGGTGGCCACCTTTGGCTCATTCTTGGCTGAATATTTAACAAAATCTTCGCCACAGAACCAACAAGGATAGAAATTACCGAAAAGGCTGATAAATTGTTTCAAATCCGCCTGCTGTTTGTTGGTAGGATTTTCCGGATAGGATGCAGCAATTGAGTGGAGTAAAGTCCAACTGGATCTGCCTAGTTGTTCTACATCTGGGGGGCAATCCTTTGCGTAAGAAGTTGCTTCTTTTTCCTCTATTTGAGGAAACTTTTGCTCTGGCTTCTTTTCTTTCTTGGCTCCAGGCATTGCCAGTTTGAAATCTAAGAGACTGTTGCAAGACCGACAGCTGATATGTTAGCAAGCGGGCATGTCAAAAGAGATTGATTACTAATTTTATACGTACGGTTTTCCGTCCTTATCATAAATAATTTTACGGCCAGAGGCTCCAAAAACTGGTTTGGCTCCCTCTTCAGTTGTTTGTTTAGGCTCTCCCTCGGTCATTAAGGAAACTAATGATAATTAAGCAGAGAAAGATACGTATAATTGCCTTGGGTCAAGGTGCATCACTGAGAAACATAAGAGACTTTAACATGGATAATGCAGTACTGCATGTAGTACTCTCGCTACCTTTTACCTCTACTGGTTCGTATGGTTCAATCGCTGCAGTCGATGATATGCTATAGTTTATGCGGTAATGTCTATTGTGGTGAATATATATATCGGATCGCAAATGTAGGGATGATAGAAAAATATGCTTAAAGTCGCTAAAAGTGTCCATGTTTGTCAACTTTTCAGAGGTTTCTTACTATCGCATCGCATCAATGGGTGCAAAATTACAGACTAGGCAGTTGTTCACTTCTGGCTCGATAACCAGCTGGTTCTTTGCTTAATTAATTCATCAGTAAGTTCGGAGATTTCAGGGGTCTTAATGGCAGATCTGGCACTATAAAACATATCCAAATTGTGCTTTGTGCCAAATTGCTGTTCATAATCCCAGGCTTGTTGTATCATTTCATACTTATCAATGTCCTTAACGTATCTAGCCTCAAGGCATCTAATCTCTTCGTAATCTAACCACAATTCCACAATTTCCTCTGCGGCCTTGGCGTTATACTCCTTAATAATTGATGCAAGATATTTAATAGTTTCAAACTCTCTTCTGCTCTTTTCAGACTTTTCCACTCCGTCAAATGGGGTAATATCACCCACCAAGGTTTCGGCCAAATCATGCACGATTGCAATTTTAACACATTTGTCCTTGTTGACTTCCTCATTGGTAATTAGCAACGAGATGATCGACATTCTATACATGTGGTCACTGATACTTTCTACGTCTCCAGTAGGAACTTTGTGGTCGACCCAGCCCGTTCTCTTTTGAGTTTTCAACAACCTTACAATTTGAATAAATGCCAATACGTAGTTTACTCTTTTAGACGATGAGTCTGCAGGAGACAAGAGCTTTTTGATATGTTCTGGAACCACCTCTTGTGGCATCCACAACTTTTCGCTGGAGGACTTCTCGGAGGACATACTGAATGGTCTTTTCAGTGGCTTTGCAGGTAAAAAAGAGTGGCAAGGACGACTGTTGATCAGCGATGACTTCACTGATTTATGAATCAAAACAAAAACATTTTTTCGGCATATCATTTCAAAGCACTGGCTCTAAATGGAAATGTATGGCTAGCTAAACAAAGAAGCTATACAAAAGAAAGTGAGGATTATAAATAGGAAAAGGAAAATAGAGTCGAATGGTGAGCTCTAGTGGTATTTCTAGTCCAGGGCAAGTCAATTCTACATTTAAAACTGATTTAAATTACCACTGAAATGCAACCAAAGTCACCATGCACGTTTTAAATTGGCGAGCATCGCAGGTTTTATTTTTTTTCTCTGCTAGCAATGAAAATTAGTGATGGGCATAGTAGAAGATTGTGTTTTAAGAGTACGAAAAATGGGCAGAATTTGTAATAGGAGGATGGCTCCTAAGTTCTAAAACCTGATACCAATTTACATAGATCAAAGTGCTTAACCATTCATCTAACATTTTTCTAAAATTTTTCTCATTCTACACTCACGTTTTCCGTAGTACAAATTATATATTCTTAGATTTAAATACAGAATTTTTAAGCGATTAATTCAACAACACCACCAACAGCTCTAATCTTTTCTTCAGCTAACTTAGAAACGAATCTAGCTCTGACAATGACTGGAACTTCTGGTAATCTACCCTTACCTAAAACCTTACCGTAACCGTGGGCTAAGGTGTCGATGACTGGGGCAGCAGATGAAGAAGCAGACTTTAAGTATTCGTCCTTCTTTTCTTCTTCAATTAAAGTCCATAATTTGTCCAAGTTGATTTCTGGTCTCCAGAAGTGGTTTTGTTGCTTGTGGAAGTATCTCATACCGACCTTACCGAAGTAACCTGGATGGTACTTATCCAAGTTAGTTCTGTGGTGATGTTGACCACCGGCCATACCTCTACCACCGGGATGCTTTCTGTGCTTACCGATTCTACCCTTACCGGCTAAAATGACGTTAGTATTTAAGTTAAAGTGAATAGATGAAGAGGGAGATAATAATCCAAATAAGAGAATCTTTTGTAATAATCTGAACGAGCGCATGAGGCGGTGACATTGGGATAGCAGACGAACGTCAATTTCTTTCCAATTCCCTGATTGAATTTTCAGTTCTATTGCGAGCCTGGCTCCATATCTCTAGAGAATGATACCAGCTTCTTGCTATGCATGGCTACGGTGCATTCCTGTCTTAGCTGTGCTGAGTACATTGACTTGTCCTTTTCTATCACTTATATATCTCTTTGCTCCGTTCTCGTATTTCCATTACTCCCGTATTGTCTCAGGAAAGGTTTGTTCTACAGTATTGTGATCCTTTTTGCATGATAATGCTGTACGAAATCCAATTTCTATCCTTCCTGTCGCTCGTTCAACTTCAGTTCGTTGATCTTCTTCGTTTCCCCTTCTATTTCCCCATTAAGGAGTCTGTTCTGTTTCTATTACATACCGGAAACGTGACCTCTGTGTTTTCTGGTTTTGGTTAATCTGGTTGGCATTGCTAATGATAGACTAAACTTAGTAACCTTGTTGTAGTATTCAAAAAGGAGAATTAAATTTTTCTTCTTTTTTTTTCAAGCTACCGTTAATTTTTCATGGAGGAGGTGCGCAAAGGGAGAAGGGCCGTACTGTACGCAGGAAAGTTAGCCAGAGATTTGAGGGAAGAGAGAGAATTTTCGTCGCACAAAAAGGAGGAAAGAAGAAAAACAGTCACTCGTGTATGCAGTCGCCGGAGAGATTAATGATTTCGAGAGGGTGGTGGTTGAGCCCTATAGTGCGGCACGTGAACGGGTGGTGAAATGAGGTTTTCAGTTTTGGGGTGGGAATGGTGCAGGAGAAGTGCAGCATGATTTTAAAGCTCTAACCAGAAGGTGCAAAAGGCGGTATACGTGAGTACCAGTACCAGTACCAGGGTACGGGATACAACAAAAGAGAAATCGATTCAGATAGGAAGATTTAGCACATTGTGAATTCATAGTATTTATAAATGTAGGCAAAACAAAAGGAATTCATTAGTATTGATGCTAACTATCTAGCTGTATGGTCCCAGTACCGCTCTCTTTTTCTTACACTAGAACTTCCGCTTTCGATTTCTCTGTTCTCACTTTCGAGAATGAATGGCTGCGAAATTTTAGGCAGCTCTCAAACCTCTAAGCTCAAACCTCTAAGCTTTTATGGCTCGACTGAGATGTGGGTAGGCCTGTTCTTCTGTTTAGGTTTTCTACTTTTAGCCTTTTTCTCCAAGTACATTCTGGACTCTTTCTGAACTCGTTATGACATATTTTGGACTACGTCGGTTGGTAGTATGATTAATAGGACACATGGTGCGATTTCACCAGTACCTGGTAATTTTCTCCAGATTTACGAAAAATGTGCTTAATGTTACTTTTTATATTCGTATTGTTTCTTCAATGATTGACTCAGAGAAGGGTTACTGCTCAATCTATTCTGCTTAGTGGCAAAACATAAACTCATATATACACATATAAGCGTTTCCCACACCTTCCTCTCTTAGCACTCTACTATGGTTATTCTGATCTAGTTGTAACTTAAATCTCACGTGACACATTATTAATTGAATATCAAAAGATAAGTTGATAGCTTAATCTAGCCATAATGGAGTACACTCACACTTTTCCGTTTCCTTTCTCCATTTTTTGAGCTTACATCGATTGCTTTAATTTTGGACATGGATTTCAATGGTGATGAACCTGAATTAGGACTTTTGAATGAAATAGGTTTAGATCATATCGATGCTATTGATGATGAGCTTGGTGGCGTCGATATTTTAGATAGAAATAGTAGACTCACACGAAGACTTTTCGTTGGTATACCTCCAAATGAACGCCATTTATGGTTAGATATGATCAACCAACAATTAATGAGAGCTAGAAGAGCTTCAAGTAGGGATAAAAAGAATAAATTATTTAGAATAATATGGGTGTATGGTAATAGAATACCATTGCCTCATGTAAACTATAGGAAATTATATAGAGACCTAAAGGTTGGCGAATGCATTAGGTTACTCCAAAGTATATTATTTTACACATTTGATGCTTTTAGGAAGCTTCTTATGTATTACCTTATGTTTGAAAGAGTGCTTCCTCTAATACGAATGTTTTTAGAAATTTCAGAGGTAGTGACGTTCTCCAATAGTTCATTCGGCCAGCTTTTAACGTTCATTTTAGAGGAGAACCATAGCATTTTCGATCATAGACGTAGGCTAGCAGAAATGAATTGTCATAATGATCAAATGAATAACTATAATGTTAGAAGTCTTTTAGTAGAATGGATATTATCAGATGGTTGGTTGACAATAGCGAGAGATGTTGTAGACAAACAAAGCAAGAGGACTGTAAAGCAACACATATCGATTATTCAAGCTTTTAAAGAAACCATATACAATTCTGTAACCTCGGGTCTACAAGTTACCTGCATTTCCTTGATGGAGAGAGATAGCTGTAAGCTGAGATGTTACATAGATGAAAACACTCTCATATTCAAGTTTTCGAATGTACTTAAGAACTTCTTCCCCATCTTCCTGGAAAACCATTCCTGGTTACTAAAGTTATCTACTGTTGTACTATGGGCAACTTATATTTTAGGCATGTATGCGATAAGCACTGGTGTTTTATGGAATTTGATTGTTTCCAGCGCAAGAATAGGTCAACGGTACATTGCATTTTTCATGCACTTCTTCAAAACTTTAGATTCAATAGGAGTATTTTAGCAATATATATATGAACAAGATCACTCATGGTCTATCAATGTATTACATAGGTACTTGTAGTTTATATTGAGTAATTGAGTTGCTAGTTGTCTACAAAATAAAGCCAGTGAATTTTGTGTGCCTTGCATATATTTTTCATGTACGATTTTCCGAGACTTCCCCACATTAAGGCATTCATTGCGATATACGGAATCAGTTGATTACTATAAACGTTGATACATTTGACACATTTTTCGAGAAGAAGAAAGTCAAGAGAGAAAAGGAAAAAAGGAAACTAAAAGTTATTAAATTTCACAAAAGAAAGTATACTTCAAAAATGTCAATTCCTGATAATATGAAGGCGGTGGTCTTCCAAGGACCATTTGATGTGAAGACCGAAATTAGACCCGTACCAAAGCTTGAAGCTCAGACTGATGCCTTGTTAAAAGTACAGTTCTCGGGATTGTGCGGGACTGATTTACATTCTTACAGGGGGCATATTAAGGGAACCAAGGGTCAAATTATTGGGCATGAATTTGTAGGGGAGATTGTTGCAATTGGTTCGGAAGTCAAGGATTTTAAAGTTGGCGATGAAGTTCTCAGTACTTTCACCATACAATGTGGAAAGTGTTGGCATTGCCTCCACGGATACTCGGGCCAATGCGACAAAACTAACACATTCGGAAAACCTGGCTTGGACGGGGGTCAAGCTGAATATGTACGTATTCCGTATGCGGACTCTACTTTGTTCAGTAAGCCAGTTGCAAGTGGTAACGACAGTGACTTCGTGGATGATTCTGTTTACGTCCTCATGGCAGATATTTTTATAACCGGGTATTATGGGGTTAAGAAGATTTTGGATCAAGTTCTGATTGAGGCTGCTGCTGGCTTAGGCACAACTGCTATTAAAGATGTAACAATCTTACAGTTGGGATGCGGTCCTGTAGGTCTTTGTGCATTGAAAGTAGCCAAACATTTAGGTTTCCAAAATATTGTAGTGGTAGACAATGTTCCCTCGAGATTGAGCCAAGCTCTTGAGTGGGGCGCATCTCACACCATCAATTTTGAAACCGATGATAAGGATGCTTTGAAGACTTACATAGAGAAGCAAACTGGAGGTGTAGGATTCGATGCTGTCCTAGAGGTAGTCGGATCATCCACGGCACTTAGAACTGCCTTTGATTCTGTAAGAAGAAATGGGTTTATTTCCTCCTTGGGAATGGCCCACGAAGATTTGCCATTCAATGGGCTAGAATGCTATTTGAAAAATATCAACATGTCATTTGGTAGATGTCATGTCCGTTCATTGTTTCCTGAGGCTCTAAAGATCTTTGAATTATTGAAAGCCGATTTTGCAGATTTCATTGATCATAAGATTGGTATAGATGAGGCTAAAACTTCGTTTGAACTATTTGATAAGCATAAAGTTAATAAAGTTGTATTTGATATGAGTAAATAGTAACCAGAAATAAATAGAATTGCCAAATTAAGAGTTTCTACTCTTTTTTTTATTATGATAGTTAGGTATGTAAATACTGGCCACCTTACTACTAAATGACGTACAAATACACATCGCGCACAGACGGTGTGCGAGTTGCACAGCCATCATCTTCATCTTTAGAAAATTCATAAATCGGACGTATTCCTTTCTTTCTTCTTGGTAGAAAGACTAAGCTGCGTATCTTATTGACTATGCACAGGAAAGCCCCACCAGTGGAACCTATATCAGGAACTGGGTTAGAGCTGGAAATTGATACATACTTGAAGAAGTCACCAGTAATATCGCAGTTCAGAGAGCAGAACCCAAATTTGCAGCAATTTGAAGACGATTCAGTTCAAGAAGTCCAAGAATACACCAATGATGGCGACAATTATAATTCAAACAAAATACAGATAGAAAATGAAAGACCAGACTTCTCAAGCTCTGACTCGTTTAAAAATAAACTCAAGCGTCTTTCTACTAGTCATTCCATCAATTCAAGATTTAGCAAGTTGAATATATCCAGACTGGAGGATACCGGTATTAGATCTGTAGCTAACGACGGGGAAGAAGTTCCGCCATTCTGGAAATACCATGTACTCAAGTTTGGCAAGGATCTATACCTTAGTACGAATCCAGATATCAAACATATATATTGCAGAAATGGTCCTGGGTTGTATGTTGAAGTAATCTCGAACAAAGCAGAGTACCTGCTTCACTTCAGACACATACAGGGAATAGAGCACCCTCCTTTTATGATTATTCTGAAGTTCATGAATAATTTTATAATAGATACAATAGGAGAAGCAGTTTATCTGCCTGTCGATGAAATAGATAATAATACTTCTTTGAGATTGATAAATTATAATTTTTCATATGAAGGTAAAGAATGGAGAATTGGATCTATCCCTAAGACGAGGCTAAGTAAAATGAATAAGCTAAAGGGCTTGGTGAAAGGAGAAGAAGAAGAATTGAAGTACATTGGCAAAAAAAATTTATACTTCTACAATAGTGAAAATAACACTGGTGTTCTTGGCCTATTCCGTCCGTATGAAGTAAAATTAAGAAAAAAGATGGTTAGATCTGCCAGAAATGCCTTGAAAAAGGAAGATCAACAACCATACAATGAATCCGATTTAGTTATAGGTTCCAACGTAAATAAATTCTTTCAATCAACTGGAGATGGTTTATATAACGAAGTCAATCCTAAAGATGACACACCGAATAGAGATAAAATGGGTTGGATAACCATTTACGAGAATCACGAAGGGTTGAATCCTAGTCACCCATTATTTAATATTATCGTGGGGATAACACTTGCAATAGGTTATGAGCAAACCTTTATAGAATAAATAAGTACTGTGTAATCTCCTTTGAACAATAAAATGAAGCGTATTAAGGCAATTAATACTCAGTATTGCGCGTCGAAGAATTTACCTTAATTCAGAAATCCAAATGTAAATCCTGTTTTCATTCAAAAGAGGGAGTATCTTCATTGTCTTAATATTATATATAACTCAAGATCAAATCTGGAGATCTGCGACATTTCGCCCCAGTTTCTAACTTTTGGAAGACAGCCATTCATAAGAGATTAGCTTGATCTTTTGACAAATATAAATGAACAGAGTCAAGGAGGGTTAGTACCTGCTTCTTAAAATAAAATTTCAATTAAGTCAAAATAGGAATAGTGTCTGAGTATATAGAAATAAAAAAAAAAAACAATAGCCCTTGTTAATATGCAGCAATAAATAATCATCTATTGTTGTTCATTTCATGAATTTTTCACTCAAAGTAGACAAATGAATGCTGTTCAAGTATATGATCGTATTAGAAGTTATTGAATAGATATCAAGTTGAAAAATTCATAGAAGCAGAGGAGATAGAAGTCATATGTTAGTAGCGTGGTATTAAATTAAAGAGTGGTTTATCTACTTTCTGTTTCTAGTTCATTCACTTTCGTATGTCCATATCATGCATGAAAAGATTTTGGGATCCCCGAAATTCACATACTCATGCAACCACTTTACCAAAGAAGAAAAAATGAATACATAGGTGCAATTTTACGGCCTAGAAAAATTTATCGAATATTGTCTACATACCCATAATAGAGAAATATGTACATTGTATATTGTACTTCAATTCTTTGCTTAATTAAACAATGATCCTTTATTACTTACTTTCATATGAAAGGACTCCTTGAATTAATTGTCTAATGTTCCATTTTATCTTAATTTGTATTTAAATGAAGCAGTAACTCTCTACAATTTTTCTTCTTCAGGTTGATGTTTTCGGTACATACCAAGTTGTGACTTCGTAAATTACAATTAAACGAAGAGTTCAGAGATAAGGGAAATAAGAAAAAGACTCTATTTTAATCATGAAGGTTTTAACCTACATCAAAGAGAAGGCGGGCGAATTCACATCTAACTTTAACCATTTCTATTTGATACCTTTATTTGGTTTCATCTGCTGGTATACTCTATTCTTAGCCCTAGTTGGGATATGGTGTGTACGAGGTAACCAATCATACGTAGCATACGACGAATTTGTAAAACCATTACCTTTGGAAAGAATTGGTGCAATTGAAGTTCCAGTATTTTTCTGCATCTTCATATTTATCCATGCCATTATATTTTGTATATCGATGTACTTGGAATTTTATCACAGAAAAATTGGAAAGTTGATAAAGTTTGCCAAACCTCACTTACAGACTAGATTGGCATATGCATCACTTGTGTTTGGATTTATTGCTCAATGCTTTTTTGTAATTCAGGCCGTTAGATCAACAGTATTGATCAAGCAAAGGAAGAGAGCAGAAACTCATTACGCCATTTTCTTAGCAGTATTTGCAATACTTGTGTTAGTGTCTTTGGCTCTAAATTTCGTCAATTATTATATTATGGGACAATATTACCGACAATATGTAAATGGAGAGAGATGGAACAAATTCACCAATTCCTTCCTCCTAAAAGTAATTTGGTTGATCGTGACAATTGTTTTGGCAGTCACAACATGTGTGTTTTATGTCACTGGTAAAGCGAAGCCGTCAAGGATATTAGAATGGGCCTTTCATTTTTGGTATGGATTGTTATTGGCGTTTTGGACTTATGATTTATACCCAATTACTGAACTCAAGGCATTGAGAGAAAAGGCAAATGGAACACATGAAGAAAGCACAACTAGGAAGTTGATCAATAAAATGTCTTGGAGTCATCACAAAACATTCACTGGAGTAAGGGAGTCTGTCATCGAAGTTTCATCCAACTTAGAGATCGGCTCTTCCAGCTCGTCTCCAGATTCGCCAGGAATAGACTATATGGCAAATTACCCAGGAATACACCACTAATGAGCGCATATTCATATTTTCAGCTTATCTTAAATCGTAATTTGCCTCCCTAAGAGAGTAAGATCCAACGTGATACATAGTCTATGAATATACAAAATTATACCACTGGGCAATAATATTCTGTAGTCTGTCTGGTAAGACCTAGAATTTCAGCCTGTTCTCGAACTACTAAATATGTGCAGCAATGTAAACTTTCAGCCTGCATGTTCCTGCATTACACGATGATGCATTGAGATTGGTCAATCCAATGGGCTCCAATAAACCACCAATCAAGGTAGGGAACAGCTAATTAAGAACTAGACAGGATCGCATTTTCATGGTTGCGCCTGATAGTTCTTACTAATTACGAGATTAAGAATTGCTTGCAGCTTTGATCCTTCAAAGGAGAGCAATCTTGTGAATAATATTTTTTAGACTTTTCTTGATTTTCTCTATGGAAGGCTTTTAATGCGCGAAAATTATAATCAAAATTCTTCTCCGCTGCATCGAATACGCTGCTCCGCGTCAGGAGTCGTCGGTATGATGAGCCGGGGTATTTTTCAAAATCATTCTATTCAATGCTCTTTAGTATAACACCTTCTCCTTTTACTTATAACTATATTAAGATGAGTGGTGAAGCAGACGTCGAGGCACCTCTTATTGATGGGTCTCATCCTTCCTTCTCAGATGTATTCTGTCCAAACTCTAGGCAAACCCTCCGTATTTGTTTAAATTTGAAACATTTGATTGACAAGATAATTCCAATCTTATTCAATGAGGACGATATCTTGAACCAAGGTTCCCCAATTATCAACAGCAATGTAATTGAATTGGCTTATAGAGCCGCTGGTGGTAAAGGAGATGGGAAACCCGGTACTTCTTCTTATAAGTATAGAGCCGCGTTAGTATTCTGTCTTCTAAAAGTAACTGATTGGTACTGGCAACAACTGGTTGAAGAATTGTATGACAACGAATTGTATACTCTTAGAGCTAAAGCTGCTCAGCAGATTGCTAAAATAATCATTGAAGAACAGACTAATGATGAATATTTGTTTTTGGGAATGTTATGTCATCGTTATACAATTTCACTTTGTGAAGTTGATGCACCTCCTATTAGCGTATTAGAATTAGCTGTAGATATGCATTCCACTATTGTAATTGGTTCCGCAGGTTACCAGCGCTGTATTAAATGGTTGTGGAGAGGCTGGATCATTCAAAGTGCAACAGATCCTCATTCTTACGTTTTATACAAAGGTGTACTGCTGCATTCCATTAGAACCCATTTCGATCCAGAAAGAGTTAAGACTCCATTGTACCAAAATATTATCGAAATTTTCTTTAGTATTGTCTACTTAGTACTCTACTCGATCATATTAAATGGTCATCAGGAGTCAACAACACCATTGGATGGGTTTGAAGTAGTGTTTTACCTCTTTACAATTGGACTTATCTTAGATGAATTTGTTAAAATCTACCATGTTGGAATGAACTATGTTGGATTTTGGAATGTATTCAATGATTCGATGTATGTTATATTGGTAATTGCAATTACATTCAGATTTTTGAGTTTAGATGCAAAAACTCAGCATGGACAGGAAAGGTTAGACGAAATGAGTTTTAGAATATTAAGTTGTGCAGCTCCTTTTATGTGGACTAGGTTATTGCTCTTCTTGGACGCCCAGAGATTTGTTGGTGCAATGATTGTTGTTTTCAAGACCATGATGAAGGAAAGTGTCCTCTTTTTCGTCCTTGCCGGTGTCGTTATTATTGGGTTCACACAAGGATTCCTTGGATTAGATAAATCAGATGGTAAGAATGAAGCCACGAAGAGAATAGTCCTTGCATTAATTAAGACAGTTATAGGTGCCAGTGGATTTGAAGATTTTTCAACATTGGTTCCACCGTATGCACTGATCATGTATTACGTATACTCATTCCTTATTACGGTCATCTTGATGAACATTTTGATTGCATTGTACTCTACTGCATATGCAGCAATTGTTGAAAATGCAACTGATGAGTACTTTGCTCTTGTAGCTCAAAAGACTTTAAGGTATATCAGAGCTCCAGACCAGGATTTATATGTCCCACCATTGAATCTTATTGAATTCGTATTTCTGCCACTTTATTACACCCTTTCCAAGAGACACTACAAGGCGTTAAACTATTACCTTATGCTTTTCTTCTACTCACCACTTTTGGCTTACATTGCCATTGATGAGCTTTCAGTTGCCAGAAGAATTCAATACAATAGATACAAGGGATTACCAGACGATGCAAATGAAGTTGACTCAGAATGGGATTTGACAGATGGATATGATGCGGATTCGTCAGATGGAATCGAAGAAAGAGACGAGGAAGTGAACCAAGCACTTATTGATCAACATGCTGGGGAACAACTGGATCCTGAATTCAAAATTGATTTGAAAAAATTTTATGGTGATATCGACAGTGTTGCTCAACCAGTGACTGAAGCCAACAAGGCCGGAATCAAATGGGAGTTTTTCGAACTTTATAACAAAATCGACAAACTTAGTGGGTTTGTCGAGGAAGTGGTTGAGGAGAACAGGAAGTTGAGGAAGGAATTGGATTTTTTGAGAGACTCCACACCCGAGTCCAAGCCTGATATTAAGACTGAAGTCAAGAAGGAGACCAAATAGTAAAGAAAAGGAAAAAAAAAAAAAAATGCTAAATGACCAATTGGATATCCAATTGAATAACTAGTTGAATTAATATATAGTTAGTTTATTGCTTGTGAAGTGCACAGATTGATTGAAATAAAAGATCTTTTCATAAATGAAGCAAGAAGCCAAGTGCTAGTTCCCCTCATACTTTTTCGCAGCCAAATATTTTATACGGAACATCTGTATGCTACTCTAGCGTACTGTTATTCTTAAGTGCAGGAGATTAGCCAATACATCCAGAGAATAGACTGACATGAGGAGTCCAGAGTACCTGCTAAGCATTCCTTTTTTAACTCAATTGAAGTCTAGTTATACTCTGAATACAATGTTTGGCCTCTCTGGCTTCAAATTTACCTATTTCTCTCTTTTTCTGCCGTTGTCTTCATTTTCTCTGACCAGTCTTACCCTACGAATCTCCAGATCAGTCTACCGCCCATACCAATTCTGCACCATTTTTCACCATACAAAATTTCTGGTTCAAAAAATTTTCCTTTCCGAATCGGGTCGTGTACATCCCAAATACTTGGGCTACATTTTTACTTACTCAACTTCGGTCGTTGCATACTGGCAAGCAAGGTTGAAGCAGCTAACTCCACACATTATAAGGGAACCTGTTGCTATTATTCTATATAATCTGTATAACAGGCGTCTGAAATCCTAGAAGAGACTCTGAATCCCATTACCGCCCTCTCAGATAGTTTCAATAATGGCTAATATCCAGCAGAAGGCAGAGGAGGACTTCACGAATGGAGACAATATCCATTTCACATACAATGAGCAGCACGAACAGGATGCAAACTCCAATCCGGCAACAAGCAGTAAAAACAAGAAAAAGAAGAAGAAGAAGAAGAACAAGGGAACTACAGCAGCACTTCAGGATGGCTCAGTGAATGACCAGCGTGTCCCACAATTGCAGCATGCCATGATCAATAACCCCGATGAAGACTACCCTGAGTCAAGAGTGATCAAGCAGGGGCCCAATGGAGATGTGATAGTAGAGAGCTTAGATCACCAGCACCAGCACAATGAAGGACACAGCCATAGCAATAACAACGATGATTTCAATCAGCACCAAGGTCATAGTCACAGTCATGGCCACAACCTTGTCCCAAATCAAAGTGAAATACAGAACAACCAGCATCAAGACAGCTATGGCTATGGTATACCTCACCCAAATCCTGCCAACATATGGGACAACTCCACCCTTGAAGAACAAGAAGATTTGAAGAAATTTTGGGAGTCCCTTGACGAACCAGAGAAAATGAAATTGGTGAAGATAGACAAAGACTCTATAATGGAAATCTTCAAGAATGAAACCAGGAATGCCGTGGCGAACGGGCATCTGAATGGATTCAGTGGTGCATCCAACGGCAGTAGTAGTAACATAGTAAATAGTAAGAATCAAGGTGGTAGCAATTCTAATGCAGCACATCATCACCATGCCCATAATCATCATGGCCAAAGTCACAACCACCCTCACAATGGATCACATGCGAACTGCCAATATTGCGGCAGGAAGTCCAATATCATTGAAGATGAATTGGAAAACATATATGACAATCACTTTGATGACATTATCGACTTTATTCATGAAGTGCGAGATATCAACGACTTGAATGCATTGCCAGGATTGCTATTTGGAGGATTCCATATGTTAGAAGAAGAACATAAGCTACAGAAACTTAAGGAAAGAGAACGGAGAAAGACAGAAAGAACCCAGAAGGTGATAGAGGAGGAAGAAGATGATGAAGACATTGAAGAAATTGAAGAAGATGAAGAAGAGGAAGATGAAGAAGAAGAAGGTGAAGAACCGAAAGAGCAACAACTCGAAGAAAAGAATGTAGAAAAGAAGGAAGAAAAAGCTCAAGAAGAAAACATTGCATTGGAACAACCAGAAGCGCTTTTAGCAAGACAAATTGAAGATTTACATGTGAATGGAAAACTTGATTCAGGTACACTAAAGACAGATCAACAAGCAAATAATGCCCCTTTTGTAGATCGATATGACCCTAAATTGTTCCAGGCTTTGGAAGACATCGACTTTGATAAAATTCGTGATGACATGCTATCCAACATTTCCAACACTAATGGAAATGACTTTCTCGAAAAAGTAGGATCTTTAAGAGAAATAATAAACCAATTGCATAAATCTGATAAAGATGAACTTGAAAAGGGGATGTCATTTCTCCAAAGTATGGGAACTCTATTCAATAATCCGGAGAAACAACAGCTGTTGCAGGAACAACCCCAGCTGGAGCTGGAACAAAGAGTAACTCACGCATCCCAAAATGAAGCTCAATCAGCTGACTTAACAAAAGGCTTATCTAGTTTTGCGGATGATTTATTGAAAAACGATGGCTTAAATTTCATTGAAATGATGGAAACATTAAGTGAATGCAGAAATAAAAGGGATGATTTATTACTGTACAGAGATGAAATATGGGTTGATGAAGACGAGGATGACCAGCGTGAAGATGCCTTACAAGAAATTCACGATGACGAAGAATTACAAGGAAACGGTGAAGAAGTCTACGGTGAAGAGGAAGATGGTGAAGAATACGAAGAGTATGGGGAGGAGGAAGGTGAAGATAACGATGAACATGAACATGAACATGATCATCATCATGATTGTGGTCATCATCACGACCACGACCACGACCACCAGCATAGTCATGATCATCACAATGATCATGGAGAGGAAGAATATGAGGATGAAGATGAAGAAGGTTCCCTTGATGTATCTGATACCGAATCTGAAATCTCCGAAGAAGAAAAAATGCAAGAGATTCGTAGACTATTCCTTATTCAGGTTATTAAATTATTCCAAGAGAGACTTAAAAGTGCCTACAAGGAAAAACTTTCTCAAGATCGTACTCAAAAGCTCATCGAAGAGCTTGAAGCTGAAGAAAATGCCAAAAAGGAAAGAGAAATGAAGAAATTAAAACAAAAGGAAAAGGCAAAAGAAAAGAAAAGACTCCAACAATTAGCAAAGGAGGAAGAGAAGCGTAAAAAGGAAGAAGAAGATAGAGCCAAAGAAGATGAAATTAAAAGGAAGCAAGAATTTTTGAAAGAGGAGCAAAGGAAGAAGAAGGAAGAAGCAAGAATAAAGAGAGAAGAAGAAAAGAAGAAAAGAATTGACGAATTGAAACGTAAAGAAGCTGAACAACAGAAGAGAATTGAGCTTCAAAGGAAAAAGGAGGAGGAAGCACGTAAAGTCAAAGAAGAAAGGAAAAAGAAGGCCGAAGACTTGAAGAAAAAGAAAGATGAAGAAAAGAAGCAAAGGGATCTTTTAAAGAAGCAGAAGGAAGAAGAAAGAGAACAGATGAGAAAGGAGCAAGAGCAACGAGATGAAGAATTGGAAGCTGAAAGCCTACTTAAAGAACAAAGTGCCGTGGTTGAAAATGGAATTTTAAGAGATGAACCTTCTAAATTACTAGATCATCCTACAATACCGACCAGTAACTCAACGAATCACTTACTTGAGCAGTTGTATCATGCTAAACCAAGAAGCTCTAGTTCTAGTTTCGCAAATGGCAGCGTTTTGCATAATAATTTGACTTCACCAACTCCTCATCATTTGCCAACTGCTGTAGGCGGGTGGAACACTGATGAAATAAAGATTGCAACTCCTGTCATGAATCTGCACATTCCGATATCTCAAAAACAACAATCACAGCAGCAGCAGAATGTTCCTCTGCAGTTTCTGCAACATACACAACAAGGGCAAGCACATCACCATCTTCATCAACAACCTGTTGTGCCAACCTCAAATATCCTCCTTGGAAACTCCTTTTTGCATTCCAGTATCCCGACTATGGAAAACTCAATCAATTCTCCAGGAAACCCTCTCTTCACAGACTCATACTCTGTCAGTATGCAACAGTTGAATAATTGGAACGGGACCAATGTCACTGTTGATCAAAAGGCCACCACTCCTGTTCCAACTCCATCTAGAAATAGTTCTATTTGGGGTAGCACCTCGGGAAGTTTGTGGCAGAATCAACTGCCGCAACAACCTCTTCAACAACCCCCACTCCAGCAGACTCCACTTCAACAAACTCCACTTCAACAACAATCCTCTGTACCTGATGTAGACATCATTCAGTCGAGGGCCTACCAAGCGTTCCAAATACTTCAACAGACACAACAGCTTGAGTTTGGGGTAGCACCGAGTATAAAGCTTTTCCAAACCACAAAGAATATCTTAGGAAATTCCGAGTTAACTCTTAACCAATTCCTTCTCGCATGCAGCAACTCCAATGGAATAAATCGTTTTGACTTTATTTACGATGATTTTGGAACAGTCAGGCATATTAAAGTCACTGGCCCAGGACAAGCTGCGAGTAATGGTATGAATTCAAGCAACCACAATCTCCTGCAACAAGGGTCACATGTTTCACCTGTTTCTGGACACAACAATATTATAGGAAACTATGGCGAAATCAATCCTTTTGCTAATTCAGGAAATAGAGGGTTATGGAATTAAGTATGATGAAATAAATGATAATGACCTTAACTCTTGTAAAATAATCTGTAAGAACATAGGATTTTTTGTATTTGCGATCTCTTTCTCTTGATTACTACGTTCTTATCTCCTTCATTTTGATCAGTATTTGCAGGTGCATATTTGTCTTTCAAATTAGGCAAGTAACTAATATATGTGACTGAAAAAAACACCTAGAAATCGTCTTCTCCATACGACTATACTTGCTCAGGGAAAGATTGTAGATGCCAAGCAAGCAGTAAGGTCTATCTGATAACAGACTTTTTTAATATAACCGTGCATGGGAACAGTATTACCTTCATCAACTTCTATCGTTAAATTCATGCATAATCAAACACCTGCGGCTCAAAATTTTCCAGCAATTACCTTACAAATGAATCAGCAGGTATTGAAAAGCCCATTCAATAGAAACAAGTATGAACCAAAGATATATTAGCTAGCACGATTATAGTTTGAAGATGAAGGAATGAAAGAGCCTCCGATTAAAGAAAGAGAAAGAGTTTTGAATTCAGTATTACTATGCTGCACTTTGAATTTTACGAAGAGGTCCAGGTATGGCATACATATTCGATTTCGGTGATGATACCGCGTCATACTCCAGGTTTAGTTGCAATGGCTCTGAATGAATGGAAGAGTCTTATATGCTCTTTGAAATATGGTCACATCAACTGAATGGTCCAATATTTGGCTAGAAAATGTTTTGAGTCATATGCTGACTAGCAAAAAAAAAAATAAAAAAATTACGCATGTCTTCTGTACATAATCTGTTTAATCGGGAATACTTCGAAGACTCCTGCTCCAACTGATTTCAAACCAGATTGAAGTAGCAATTCTGTGGTCTGAGAGTCTATAAAAAGACGGCTTTCATTCAGCTTGTCTATTTATATCAGCACTATTTTCATTTACTTGCAATTTTAAATTTCAACAACGTACAAGGCTATTAATAAATAGATTATTTATGAATTTTTGCTCTACTGCTGGTATGTTCTTTTTTTAGATCTGGCGCGGAAGATTTTTTTAACTAAAATATCTTACACTTTTGGATAGATTCTTACTGTACGCATATATAAAAAGTGTGGGTTTGCCTAGACTGGTTCAACTTTTTCATCAAACAAAATCATCAGGATTCGTGTACCAAAAGAGGAGTTAAATACTTGAATTCAAAGGAAAAGAAATAACACACTATAGGACTAGAAATTAGACGTATAGATGACAGAAGTAATTAAGAGGAAAGTAGTTATTGTAGGAGATGGTGCTTGTGGAAAGACATCACTCCTATACGTCTTCACTCTTGGAGAATTTCCTACTGAATATCACCCGACAGTGTTTGAAAACTACGTAACAGACTGTCGTATTGATGGCAAGGCAGTTCAATTAGCATTATGGGATACTGCAGGTCAGGAAGAATATGAAAGGCTACGCCCGTTGAGCTACAACAACAGTCATGTCATATTAATTGGATTTGCTATTGATGTACCAGATTCATTTGACAATGCGAGAACAAAGTGGGTGGAAGAAGTTAGAAAATATTGTAGTGGTGTGCCGTATCTACTTGTGGGCCTAAAGAAGGATTTGAGAACAAGGGATTCAAGTGAAGAATTTGTACAATACTCAAGTGGTGAAGCAGCGGCTAAGCAGATTGGAGCAAAAAAGTACTTAGAAAGTAGTGCATTAAGTGGAGAAGGAGTAGATGATATATTTGAATTGGCCATAAGGACCAGTTTATTGGCTAAAGAAAAGGAGAGTACAGGTTGCTGTGTGGTTTTGTAGTATAACAAACTGAAAAAAAAAAAGAAAGAAAATACATACATGTATGTACAAAAAGTGTCAAAAGTTTCGAATTATTTTTTAATTGCAATAGGAAGGTGATACCACTGCTGCACATTTTAAAACATCCTCGAAATAGACACGGGAACCTAGCATAATCGAAGTGTAACATATGTGTTACATTAACTCGCATACATAGAATAAATCAAAAGTAAATTTAAAAATGGAAAAAGGAATGATTATAAGAAAGTAGACAGTATTTATATAGTAAATAAATTACTCAATGTATCATGTTTCTATGGAAATTACGATCTACGCATTGAAAATTCTCTTTGCTTTGTATTGTTTTCTCTATGTTGTATATGTTTAAAAGGAATGTGCATAATATCTATTCCATTTCATGCAGCATTAACTTACAATTCAATATGGCTCGGTCCGCATGGGCAGTAAGCGTGCCAAAGATACCGAAACGGGACATTAATAATTGTAATTCTTCGAGCAAGACCTGGTCGTTTTGATAATGTTCTTTATTAATCTTCATTTTTATTTCTTTACGTCAGTGTTTTCTTCTCTCTTATTTTTTTTATTTTTTGGTTATTTTAATTTTCCTTTATTTATTGGTAGTAGAATATTGATCCATGAAGTCAAAGAACTTACCTCTCTTGATACCTTGGAATTCAGGTCTTGGAGGTTGAGTAGAATCGCCAAAAAGTTCAGCTCTTTGTTGTCTCTGTTCTTGTAATGCAATTAATCTCCTTTCTAATAATTCTTCATTTCTTTTAGTTATTTGACTTATTCCAGTGAATACGGCTATGGAAAAGGCAATGGAGTAGACATACCCTAATGGCTTGTATCTTAATGGATTACCATCTCTACCGCAGATAGATAATTGTACTGCTCTCACGACAGATCCAAAGAGAGCATACTTAGCAACATCAAGGGGTTCAGGGAATTGGAAAGCCATTTCAACTGGGTTGTTCTATTTGCACCTGATAGCTGTACCTAGTTGTGATATGGTGTTTTTGATATCGAGAAAAAATGGTAAAGAAAAAAGGTGAAATTTTAATTGGCTTGAATTATATGCCGGCCCAAAAGTGTATACAGGAAGGCAATAGAAAAGCTTATGCAGGTGTTTTTTACATGCAGGTGCCTTATGAGTCTGGCGGGTCTATAGCGGAAATTGTTGTGGATACTCTAGGAAAACTGTGGGAATTGTATGCATGGAATAAGTGAAGGAAGAGGATACACTTGAAATTCATCTAGTATATTAAAACATCCCCGAGTTGACCTTCTATACTTTTGCTTGAGTTTATGATATGTACCTACAGCCATTTCTGATAATTTTAACTTAAACTGTCTGCACTTTTGTAGATATTCGGATCTATTTTTCCTTGTCGTACTTTCGTTTTAGGGCGGAATATGGATTCGATGATAGGAGCGGAATTCCAGAAATTCCCAACTTCCATGGTGTATACTATGGCTCATCAGTTAAACTAAGTTAGATATACAATAAGCTTTTTCCGACATAGCGCTCTCTTTCCCTGCAGCGATTAATATTTAAACCTAAGTAGATCGTCACACTATCGTATATTTTATTTTTCGCTGGTAAGACTCTCTTCTTAACAATAACATGCCGGAGACTATCAATTTTCTTAAGGGCCATCCTACTCATTCACTTCTCCCAACGGCTCAGATTGCTGAAACTTACAAGAAAGTTCTTTTAGATTCTGATTATTTGGACTATGAGACCGATCCGTTGAATCAGCATCCGTTAAGTTATGGAACTGATCCTGGTAATTATGACGTAAGACAAAGTATTGGTAAGTGGAACGATCGTAATTTTAATAGATTAGACAAGCCCTCGGACCCTGATGCAATAAATTTGACTGGAGGGGCATCTTATGGATTTATAAACATCTTAAACTCAACAACTGAAGTTGGTGAAGTTACCCAGAGGGCCTTTATTGTCTCTCCTTGTTATTATTTGATTAATGGTGCATTTATCGATGCTGGGTTTGAAGGTAAGATCACCGCAGTCGAAGAGACACCAGATGCAAACGCTGAGTATGAAGTTGATATAGACTTCTTGGAAGCGGAATTGATCAAGTATAGTGAAGGGTTACCTGCAGTAACCGAAGAAACAAACATTGTACTGGATCCATGCGGTAGAGGTGAAAGCAAGCTTTATAGATTTGTACTTTATATAGTTCCTACATTTTCTAACCCTGGTGGGTTGACTTATTCTTTGAAGACTCGTTCAAAGTTGATTGAATTAGCAAGAAAGTACGACGTTTTAATTATAAGCGACGATGTCTATGAATTGTTGGACTACCACAATGCTGCACCAATCCCTAGAATTGTTTACTTGGATAGAGATACAGCTTCTTCAAGTACAAACAAGTTTGGTAATTCTGTTTCCAATGCAACTTTCTCTAAACTTGCTGCACCAGGTTTAAGAAGTGGATGGCAGGAAACTACGACCCCATTTTTGGCCAAGCAGCTTGCTCGCAGTGGACCTAACAAGTCTGGAGGAACTCCCGGGCAATTGGCATCTTTAGTTGTCGCTAGTTTCATTGATCTGGGAGAAATTGATACAATTATTGCAAAATTCAAGTCTGTTTATAAATCCAGAGCTCAAAAGTTAAGAGAGGTGATTACCAAGTACTTTCCAGCTTCCACTAAGTTATATGGAGGAGATGGAGGATACTTCTTCTGGTTGACTTTCCAAAATGACACACCGGAATTTGATCATAGAAAGATCAACAAGATTTTACTAGATGAGCACAATATTATAGTCGCTTCTGGAGACTCTTTTGAAGTCAATGGAGATCGCAAAGGCTGGGGGAAAAATTCAGTCAGATTAAGTATTAGTCTTTTGAGTGAAGAGCAAATCGAGAAGGGGATTCAGGTATGGGCTGAAGTTTTGAAGAAAGAGTACCCAAGTATTTATTAAAAATGAGAGTAGAACAGTGTATAGAAGTTAATACAGTTAATACTAGAATATTTTTTTTTTTCTAGAATGTTGAAAATTTACATGCTTTTAAAGTAGAAAGGCCCGAGTAATGTGAAGTACCAGTTAGCAGCGTAAAAGCTGTACGAAGAGAAGCTCCGTCTAAAACTGAGAGCCCACCACAGAAAACCTCGACCACATACAAAATGAAGTTAAAATTCGGTCATTTCTATTTCTTTTGTTAGTAAAACTATTTCGATAATTTTGAAGGTTCAAAAATTTTCAGTATCAGAGTAGATCTTGGTGTAAACTTTTTCAATCTCATGAATTTTCAAAAAAGGCTAGTCTTTATCATCACTAAAGAAAATTTTGATATAAATAATCAAAAATTTATTACATACAATTTCAAAGAAATATTACTTTCCTACAAGGTAATAGATATATTTCTTGTTCATTTGAAGAGAAGAGGTGCCTGGCATTGAACTGAAATTTATTAAGTAGCAAAATTTTGCACTCTTTCGCTTCTGCGAACAAAGTATTGAGTTTGGTTACCCGGACAGTTAATAGATTTAAGGGCACTTCGCTATATGAGAGCTCTACATAGTAATTCTTGCACATGAACAAAGCTCACACGCTATTATTTAGTGGAAATGCAACATCAAAAGGCCCCAAATCAAAGTTGCAAATTCATAAATCAGATGCCCAGTATTCAAACATTGCACAATTTATCTTGTTAGTAAAGTCAACTTATTTTCTTTCTGAGTGATTTTGATTTTAACTTAAGTGATCTAAGGGGGTAATCTTCTCTTTGTAAAAATGTAATGTTGTTTCTGATATTATAGCCTAGGTATTGGTCTCATAAAAAGTTTCGAAACGGCGAGTGAAAGGGGTTTTCGTCATAAACAATAGACATTTAAAAATGTTCACTTACCTCTAATTGGAGTAGGTTCTACGTCCTATGATCTTTGTCTAGTGACTTTAAATTACTCGAGGTAGCCTCAATATATATACTTCCAAATTAAGGTTTAATTACTACATCAAATAAGGTGGAAAGGAAAAAAAAAAAGTTTGTAACTGGAACTCTACTCAATGACTCACAGGATCAACATATATTAAATTTATAAGGCAAATTTAGATGGCAAATCCAATACAGTTAATGGACGGTTGTGGGTATTCGTTGAAAATGTATGCCGGTAATTTTGTTGTGCATTTCCCAAGTCAAGGTGTCTATAGATTGTCTCAGTATTCGATACACATTTTATGCTACAAAATTTGCCTTGTCTCACATAGATTCATATAGTATGTGAAAGCAACAGACTTCTACTCTACTAAATATTTTTTTATTTTTCTGTGTCAGATATATTCATACCACTATTCTTATCTACTCTATGTATATGCATGGTTGTACTTTTGTGAACTAGTCTATTTCATCTGCAACCATTTTTAAAAAAATTCGCAGCCATTGTTTTTCTTAAGTGGTTATATTCCTACACCTTCACTTTCAAACATGACCGAGTATTTTTTAACCATAAGGGGTTATCAACTATCTGCAATGTCTACCTATTCGTATCTATTGGATTGGTTGTTGTACAGTTCTACGATTGCCGTATTACTTTCATATGGTGCTCTAGTATCACCGAAGTATCACGAATTTCTGTTGCATGATATCACATTAATGAGCTCACATAAGTCAGAGGACGAGACCACTATTTCGATCACGATGTTAATCCTAATATCCGTAATAACACCAATCTTGTCTGCATTTTTTCCAATTATCGAAAAGACGAAGTTAGCACCCCAACGAAGAGCTTGGGATGTTATTATTGGATTATTGGTTCTTTGTGGTAGTATGGCTACACAATTGAGCATAGTCAATTTGTTAAAGAATGTTTGTGGATTGCCTCGACCAGACATACTTTCGAGATGTTTTCCCGATGGAATCAATAGCACTTTAATAGAGCCTCCACCTGGTAGACTTGCGACTATCGATATCTGTTCAAATCCAAACTTAATGGAGCTAAAAGATGGATTCAGATCCTTCCCCAGTGGACATCTGTCTACAGTATTTTGTGGAATGGTTCTTACAAGCCTCAACCTCTGTGGCAAGTTGCAGGTATTCGATAACAGAGGATTTTCATTAAAGATAGTTTCTGCAATTATACCATTGATTATTGCAACTTTTGTTTCTTGTACAAGAATCAGCGATAACAGACATTTTCTGAGAGACATTATTGCTGGTGGGATTATAGGCAGTGCAATTGCAATTTGGTTCTATTTACAATACTTCCCCAGTATTTTCAATTTAGAAAATTGTGGTAGAGCGTATCCACCGAGAAGGTTTGGAGTTTCTAGTCATTTTAACCATGTTGGAGGGTTCTGGAAGATTGAAGACAACACGGAAGGTTCATTTTCCGAAAGGCATTTGGTGGATTAAAGTGGCTTATTGAATCAAATGGAAATGAAAGCACTCATTTTCGGTCCTTTCCTTAACCTAACTTTCTAACCCTTGTTTTGGCACTTCTTAATTTTTCAGAAGTTCTCTCCACATCTTCATTTAATCCATCCAATATGTCATTTTGTTCCATAACTTCGTTATTTATTACTTCTCCGATTTGCCTTTGCCTTTGAATGATCTTACGTAGCTGCTCAATTTCTTGATCTTGGTTCTTTTGGACTTGAACTTGCTGTTGGATAAGTTCTTGATTGTTTAAAGGAAGAGTGTCATTTGTTTCTGACGCTTGTTCTGTATTTCCCCCAAACACACGACGACTCCCCAAGAGGTCGAGCCTATTATTAGTAGAGCTATTAGCAGCAGATTTAGGAGACTCAAGCTTTTTCAATAAGCTCTCAAGTTCAGACGATATGTCCGACAATACCATCTGTTTCCTCTTAACCTCAAGTTTATCGGTGGCGTTTTCATTTGCTGCACGCTCTAGTTTGATTAAATTTGGTTTAATTACTTTGGTCACCTTCTCGCGAATCTCAAGTCGCGAAGTGATACTACTAGCTGATGATGCTTGTGAGGAGAGCTGGCTAATGTGAAACTTGAACTTTCTCGCATATTCCTGCCAGTTCGTCACCAAGCTCTGGTCCGATGGGAGCACTAAATCATCTAGATCATTGCCTGAAGATTTTGGTTTAGTGATTGCCTCGGTGAATTTGAAGTTCAATGGTAATTCAAGGAATTGGTGAACCAATGGGTGATTCTGTAACTCCCTATCTTGAATGATTGAGTTTACAAACTTGCTGAGCTCTAGCGCTCGATCCTGCACGAGTGGAGAATTTTCGCTTCCAGAAAACCAACTAGAACCAATTTTCTTAGAAGGAAGCTCATACGGAAAATCCTTCACTTTGATTTTTAAATTCGAACAGAGAGAATCTACTAAGCTGTAGAAGTCGGAAAACCTCTTTAGAGTGGTTATGGACCGAAGAGGCAATTTGATGTTAACATGGTAATATATGACATTTTTCTGTGTGGAAGTTGTGGGTATAGACGCTATCATAGCCAGCAGGATATGAGTGAGGCTCAATGAAAATGGAAGTGAAGCTATGATGATGTAGAAGTAGTAGTTGAAATTGTAGTGATTGTATTGATTCTTATCGTCATCTCGGTATATCAGGTGATATTGGTCACGCGATCATCTTAGTTACGAGATGCCTCAGTTCCTCCCTATCGCTATGTAGTAGAGGAAGGCCATACCGGGCCACACAAACACCTACTAATAGATATACCATGAATAATGCACAGTTTAGGGATTACCAAAGAGCTTATACTCAGATACTCCCGTCTGTTTTCTTACACATTCCAATTAATTGTGCCATGCTTGGCCCTCCCTAAGAATCGTCACTCAATCCTGCATACCCGTACATTGCTACTCTCCTAATCTTTAGTATGACTACCCCAGTATTGCTGCGCGATTGCAAAAAGCAAGGTCAGTAACTCTTCTCTTGCAGTTTTAAGTGTATATATTATAGAAGACCACAGCCATTGTTCATTTATTTTAGTACTGGGTTATTCAAAATCAATAACATGTCTTACCAATCTATTCCTCAGGACGAGAATAACCCTCTTCCTTCCGAATCGGTAGAGGGTTCAGACCTTGAGAGCCAATCTTTACTTCGCAGTGAGACTGGTGCAGGGTCTGCTGGTCACCATGATCACCACTATGTATCACCAGATGATCCAATTGTCTCTCCTTTGAATCTTTATAAGATTCAGGCATTGCGAGTAGTCGCCTTGGTAGTATTTATAATTAATTGTATATTATTTTTCGCCTTTTTATTCTCAGACTTTATAGCCATTCCAGGATTTGATAGTAGAGGGAAGTCATTCTTTGAATTGGACTTGCTTATATTATGCGGTTTGAGTAATTTGTTGACCTTATGGTGCTTTAGCGTTCCTGCTTACTATGAAAGGATATTGGGTTACGTGATTGCAATCTTAGTTGGATTGGACTTTGTTGTTGCCCTTACCGTTCCTTATATTAGAAGTCAATTCGGGCTCATGGGAATATTTATCATAATTTGGACTCTTCTTACGTTCACATTCAATTCTCTCGTAGATTATTGGGTAGAGCAGGGGAAGATTTATCAAGAAATAAAGTATACTGGTAGAGAAGAAACCAGGAAGACGGTGACTGAATTGTTCGTGGTCTTGATAAAGACTTTGGTTAAGTTTATCATATTAGTTTTAGTATGGAACGTATCCTTCAGTCTTTGGGTAGCTCTGTATGACTCACATGTCAAGCCATGGGGGAAAATGGTTGCGGTTAATGAAGATCAATTTAAAATACATTTATCATGTTATGGTGAAGTGTATGGTTCGCCTGAGAAATCTTCAGCGCCTAAGGACCCGAAAGATCCAAAGCAACCGATTGTCCTAGTTGAAGGTGGGCAATTGACTTCATCTGAAGAATTTCAAGAATGGATTGAAGAACTTTTCCATTTGAATAAGATTGAAAGATACTGCATCTGGGATAGACCAGGGTATGGATTCTCGGACAGTGCTCCAAGTCCGACCTCAATTAGTATTATTACTGAATATCTTATGGAGGCATTGAGGAAAGAAGACATTGAGGGCCCCTTCTCTTTAGTTGGGTTTGATATTGGAGGACTTTATTCGAGATTATTTGCCCTGAGGAATCCAGGCAAAATTCATTCACTTCTTTTAGTTGATCTGTGGCACGAAGACCTTTTGAAAAAGGACCCATTTAGCGGTACCAATAAGAAAAATGAGCCCAAGAAGGTATTCAAGAACATTCTTGAGACTATGAACACATTTACAGGATTCAAGCTCTGGCTCAAGGGAATATTATCTCCACTTGGAGTTACTCAAAATTTACATTGGATGTTCCATCCAAGGAAGTACTCATCAAATAGTAGAATTTTTGGTACTGATATGTACTGGTCTTCGAAGTATATTAGAGCAAGATTACAAGAACAAACGACTTCATCCATATTGTCGTATAATGAAATACAGGGCAGTGATATCCACAACGTCCCATTGAGTGTTATTTCATCAGACTTTATGATTAAGAATCTGTTAAATTGGGGGAAATGGCAGAGAGAGTTGACCAAGTTGAGCGACCAGAGCATCGAGTGGGTTGTTGCAGAGAATAGCGATCACTTTATTTGGAGAAGTGCCAAGGGCAGAACACAACTTCAGCAGTTATTGTTAAGGTTAGTTAGTGAAAAGAGCAACTACTGATAAGACAAATGAAAGATTAGAGGGCAGAGAACATCTTATGAGCGCAACTGAGCAGTTGTGTTAGGATTTGTTAGTGAAATGAGAAACCACTGATAATATAGTGAGCAGAAGGCAAGAAGAAAGGCAGAAAAGACAAGCATATGCGTAGGGTCTGCTGCAGAAGAAAAGTATCATAGGGTCTACTGCAGAAGAACATTAACAGTACATGAAGATAAGACCAAAAAAAAAAAAAAAAAAAAAAAGAAAAAGATGAGTTCAGCATTGACAAAAGTAATGCCTATTAAATTTAGTATGGCTATCCTCTATATATTTTATAAAATAGTGAATGTGCACAGTTTGACAAATGTAGGACTATAAGATAGCTACACGCCCCACCCACACCGCTCCCAGCCACTACCAGCTACTACCACATCACCCACTGCAACACATCTTCTCTCCCCTCCGGTATATAACCCCCGTTCCTTTATCGCTTAATAATGTACTGCACACACACCCAAAAATTACCTACCAGAGTGCTGGTCTAATTTTTGTTTTTTCTTGACGGGTCTGTATCAATTGGTTTCTACTTAGAGACAAAATCACAAGAGGCGAAAAATATAAACAATAAAACAAAAAGAGCAATATCGAGGAACTCTGAAACAAGTTAACACAAGTGTACATTGTAGTAATAAGAGTGAGAAATTTTTCATCTTCTTATCTTTTGTACGCTGCATCCCCCACCACTTATAATATCAAATTAAAGCCACCAATATTGGGCTTTTTTTTTTCCTAGTTTTAGTTCGTTCGGTACATACTCGAGAACCTCTGACGGAGTGTATCTATTTTTTCTTTAAGCTGAGGGGCACACTCCAGCATAAATTTTTTTGGGTTGTGAGTATTTTTTTGATCTACTGGAAGGCGTAGTGGATTAGATTCTACAAATTTAGTAGTACAAGAGTAACAGAGGAGAGGAAAGGATATTGATTCCCAAGCAAAGTAAGGAGGAATAAAAAAGAATAGACCTCACGACCTTGAAACTTAAATAGGGGCCATACTATCAAAGCACATTTAGCACATTTAGACGGACACAGAGACAGCTATTTTACGAAAGGTACAGGTATGTCAGTTGGTGAAACCGAAAGAAGAGGCTCTCCCATGGTCACGACGTCACCCAGCGCACAAGCATCTGCTTCTGCGTCTTCTTCTTCTGGCGTCGTAGGGTCCAGAAAGCAAAGGAGCGTGAGCTCTAATACATTGGCACATACTCCTACGTCTCCTGGTTCACCTAATATTCAAGTAAATGGCGGGGTTTCTACCGCAATCCACGGGCATATACATGGGCAGGGCCAAAGTCACGCCCAAGGACAAGCACAGACTCGAATTACCTTGCCTAATAGCGAGACACCTTCGCCTCCAGTCCAACCAGTCAGAAGATCGTCGTTTGGAATGAACTTCCTTAGCTCCATAACGAACTCCATGAGAACTCACCCATCGATACCAAGCGGCGGCGATGAATCTACCGGCAATGGTCAGAGCCCACCTACTAGGATTGAATCCCCACATCATTTTATGTCCAATAGCCCGACCATTGCTAACTTGCATGGATACTCACAGGATGGACCAATTGCTACGGCGGAAACGGCAGGTACCACCACGCTTAGCACCAATACGGGTGCAGTTGCTGCACCGGGCCCCGACTCTGCACCGAACTCGATACTGGTAGCACATTCAAATGATTCAGATCCACTTTCACCGCCTGCTGTAGAGCCATCGACGGGTGCTGGTGTCGGGGGTAGTATGAATTTACTCGGTACTGGTCCAGTTAACGCTCCAGCAGCAGCAGCTGCTGCTGCTGTAGTGGCGTCTTCTTCTACAAGTGCAGTACAAGTAGGACCTCTTACTTCAGGCAACGTTGAATCTGACAACGGCATGGATAAAGACGGATTCTTCTCGCTTCGTCTCACTCCACTCATCGACCACTCATCGTCGACATCCGGGCTTTATTTCGCACCTATCATTCGAAAGATCAAGCCAAAGACTCAAATCTCCATAGGACGTTACACTGAGAAGAATAAACTGGCCGCACATGCACCCCAGGGTTCGTCTGCACCCGTCGTGTTCAAATCTAAGGTCGTTTCACGTACGCATGCTCTTTTTCAATGTAATGACGATGGACAATGGTTCCTCAAGGATTGCAAATCTTCTTCAGGAACATTTCTCAATCATATCAGGTTATCTCCAGCCTCACAGGAGCTGACACTTATGCCATTAATAGATGGGGACATAATACAATTAGGAATGGACTATAGAGGAGGTACTGAGGAAGTGTATCGGTGCGTAAAAATGAGATGTGAGTTCAACAAGAGCTGGCAGAGGAAAGTCAATCAGTTTAATTTGGAAATTCACAAAAAACTAAAAAATTTAGCAATTGGAGAAAAGGAACAACCACGATCTGATGGTGGTCTTCTGCTCAACCCAATTGCCAGTGCAGTTGGAGAAGCTCTCAGCGAGTGTGCTATTTGTTTACTTCAATTGGAACCATGTCAAGCGTTGTTCATAAGTCCATGTTCACACTCATGGCACTACAAGTGTATCAGGCCGATAATAATCAAGAGCTATCCACAATTTTATTGTCCAAACTGCCGATCCATGTGCGATTTAGAGACAGACATTGAAGACGACGATTAGAAGAAAGGAAAATGCTATCGTCTGTAAAAAAAAAAGAAAAATAGAGACTAATATTAATGGAGATAATGATAAGAAGAGAATGGCTGCCTTACCTCAGCGCCTGTATTTTGTAGACTTTGTAGCACAAGGTGGCCTGCTGAAATCGAATTTGTCAGTAATATCGTTAGCCTACAGGTTGATAGCTATATGAAATAAGAAGATTCCCTTTCCTGGGACATGACGCTTATGTTTTGCTTGCATAGCTTGTACACCAAGTGTCATAGACATTAAGTAAGCCAAGCATATGTTCCTCTAGGAGTTCGAAGGCTAGGGTCAAGGAAACTGATATGTCATAGCAGTAAAATCTTGTCGGGAAAATCTTAGTCGTATCTCCCAAAGTTGGCTTGTATATACGAGAAGATAGCCCTATCTAGCATTGAATCTACCCATTGTCTCTCTCATGGCTGACTTGCAATTTGGTGTCATTCTATCTGGTTGAAGCAGATGTAGGCTTCATTTAATACGCTTGTACCGACAGTTATGCGATGAGGCAACTTCTTCTCGGACTTACCTAAAAGAGAATTAAGTACCACTGCTTACAAATTTTTCGGCTCGGTAGAGCAATCTCGAACAAAATTTCCTGCATGTAGACCATTGGATTTCGATCGAAGGAATTACATACAGTCTGGAACCCTTCGAAGACAGGTTGCCTGCATGGACCAACGTTGGTAGGAGATATCGGTACAAGTGCAAGCACAACCTTGAGGGCATTGCAACAACCATGAAGTCATCCCAATTGCTATAAAAGATGATAATTCTAAGCCGATTTCGTAGACTTGAAATTTTTTTTTTTCCTATTTTCCTATAGTCAATTACAATTTTGTACTAAATTTAAGCTTTAAACCTTAATACCACACTAAGATATGTCCACGTCAGTTTTCGTTTCAGGTGCCACTGGGTACATTGCTCAACACGTAGTTAAGCAACTTATCGCTAAGGGATACAAGGTTGTAGGTACTGTCAGATCTGCTGCTAAGGGTGATAATTTGAAGGCAAACTTGAACTCTGAGAATTTTTCATATGAAATTGTTGAAGACATCGCTGTGAAGGGTGCTTTCGATGAAGCATTGAAGGCTCACCCAGAGGTTACAGTTTTCTTACATACTGCCTCTCCATTCCACTTTAATGTCGTTGACGTTGAAAAGGATTTATTGTTGCCAGCAGTTGAAGGTACCAAGAATGCCTTGTCAGCTGTGAAGTCTTTTGGCCCACAGATTGAAAAAGTCGTTGTTACCTCATCTTATGCAGCAATTCTCACTATGGAAAAGCAAACTAAAGACTACACTTACTCTGAAGAAGATTGGAATGAAATCACCTGGGAGCAAGCAAAGGCAAATCCAATTGCCGGTTACGTTGGTTCTAAGTCTTTCGCTGAAAAGGCTGCCTGGGATTTCGTCAAGTCTGAAAAGCCACATTTCATCTTATCCACTGTTAACCCAGTGTATGTTTTCGGACCACAAGCTTTTGATTCTGAAGTTGCAGGTACTTTGAACACCTCAGCCGAAATCATAAATGCTGTTCTCAAGTTGAGCCCAGACTCTGAAGTTCCATCCACTTCTGGGTTTTACATTGACGTTAGAGATGTCGCTGAAGCCCATTTAGTTGCATTTGAAAACAAGGATGCTCAAGAACAAAGATTATTACTTGCTGATGGTAAGTTTGCATCTCAAGATATTTTAGATATAGTAAATGAAAATTTTGTCAAGGACGTTGCAGGTAAGATTCCAGTTGGTAAACCAAACTCTGGATCTGAAATTACTTCTGCATCTGCTGCAATCAACAACGAGAAAACCAAAAAGCTTATTGGGCACCCATTTATTGGATTAAAAGAAACTGTCGTTGACACCATTCAACAGATCTTAAATGTGAACGGTAAATTGTAAGAGTGAATCCATGGTTTTTACGAAAAAAAAAACAGAAAGGATAACATAAAGGTGTATCCCATGATAGAATAATTGTGAGAATTCCATAATCATACCTTATAGAGGTTTTTATAGAGAAATATATTATAGAAATAACAGTTTGAACATAATCCATATTTTTCAAAGAAATAAGCTCGAAAAACATTCGCGATTTCATGCTACTTAACCTTTTCTGCCTAGCTGTCTAGCAATTTGATAGCGAGAAGAAGCTAGCCTATTTACGAGAAACTTAACATAGAAGCAACTATAGCCACATCCAAGTTTTTTTTTTCAAAGTATTCTTTTCTTTTTGTTTTGTGGTTCATAAGGGTATAATCGAAAATGTAAGGGCGATTAACAGAAAAAAAATATTAACACTCCAGATTGTTTTAGAGTAGTTTAGGCTTTTGTGGGGCGTTTAGGGGGGCTGTAGGCGCCAGCGCTCCTACAACTCAGTCACCCTAACGGACAAAGGTGCACAAAGAAAAGAGCAAAGATAATTTCTTATTGTGTAGTGGAGGACTTATAGGTAGCTGCTATAATTTTCCCATCGATGCTTAAGCTGTCTCTTGAACTACCTTAGTTTGACGTGCAACTAGAGTTTTGCTTGGCTTGGCTTAGCTGCGTGGTCTAACGTAAAATACTTCTGTAACAGCTCTTTTTTCTTCGTTTTTTGATTACTTGCATGGCGCGCGCAGAAGAGAGGCTAAGCTCGATTGGGGTAAACAAGTTCCCAGCAGGGCACAAAATCTGCAACATTTTTTAAAACGCTTCTGGGGTTTTACGAAAAGTTACTTTCAAACATGTAAATCCACTGGAATCGAATCAAGATTCTTCAAGAATGAAATTCCCATTTTGAAACTAAAGTAATTTAGTAATTTTTTTTCTTTTGTTTTCAACGATTTTTATTCGACGTGTATTCATTTCTTTTTTTTAAGTCTTTATATATTAACTGTATTCTCTCGCTACTCATTCTTTTGTCTGCAACAATCACTGTAAGCTCGAAATGAGAGACTTAACCAATAATACAACGACACGGGAAATCCGGAATCCTTTCAGTTCTTCAGAGGACCAAAACTTGTCATCGGATTACCAGATATCAACAGATGACGCATATGATGATAGCACAAATTTACTCAAATCACAACAAGACAACATTGGATACCATAATAGACTTCAAGACAGTCAGAGGTCAAGTCAAGCTCCTAGTCAAACTAATCTTCGGGGTGATACACCTACACCTAGTAATCCATTTGTTCTGATTGAAGATACCCTTTCTCCATTCGGTGGATATCCGATAATGCAATTTCCACTATCGATAGATGAAAAAGAACCTGATGATTACCTCCACAATCCAGACCCAATCGAAGATGCGCTTTATGATAAAAACAGATTTTTAAACGACTTGAAAAGTATGGACAAAAAATCCTTTTGTGGATTATTGGGTGTGATTGGGCTATTCGTGGGTGCAATGGCTATATTTGTTGTCTTGCCTGTTTTGACATATTCAAACGTCACGACACACTATACACCTGAAAGTTATGAAATCTTGACCCAATATCAGTATCCTACTTTAAGTGCAATCAGAACCAGCTTAGTTGACCCAGATTCACCCAGTGACGCACAAACATATAAAACAAAGGATGGAGATGAATGGAAATTGGTTTTTTCAGATGAATTCAATGCTGAAGGGAGAACATTCTACGAAGGAGATGATCAGTTTTTTACAGCTCCAGATTTAAACTATGCGGCAACAAAAGATTTAGAATGGTATGACCCTGACGCTGTTACTACGGTTAATGGTACTTTGAACTTGAGAATGGATGCTTACAAAAACCATGACTTGTTTTATAGATCGGGGATGATCCAATCTTGGAATAAGTTGTGCTATACTCAAGGACTAATTCGTGTTTCAGCAAGCTTACCTTACTACGGTAATGTCTCGGGCTTATGGCCAGGTTTATGGTCCATGGGGAACTTAGGAAGACCTGGCTACATGTCGACCACAGAAGGTGTTTGGCCGTACACGTATGATTCGTGTGATGCCGGAATCACTCCAAACCAATCATCGCCGGATGGGATTTCATACTTACCTGGACAAAAACTAAATGTATGTACATGCAAGGGACAGGATCATCCCAATACTGGAGTAGGCAGAGGTGCTCCAGAAATTGACATTATTGAAGCGGAGATAGATACAACACTAAAAATCGGAGTTGCATCTCAGTCCTTACAGATTGCCCCGTTCGATATTTGGTATATGCCTGATTATAGTTTCATTGAGATATTGAATCTGTCAGTAACTACTATGAATACTTACGCTGGGGGTCCATTCCAACAAGCTGTATCTGGTACAACTGTCCTAAACCGATTGTGGTATGAACATAACAATAATAAAGATGGACTTCCAGGTTTCCAAGTCTATGGTTACGAGTATATGAATGATGATGACACGGGCTACATCACATGGTATGTTGGAGAAAACCCTACATTGACTTTACACGCAACTTCTTTACACCCCAATGGAAATATTGGGTGGCGTAGGATTCCAAAGGAACCAATGTCAATCATTGCGAATATGGGTATGTCAAATAGTTGGGCCTACATAGACTGGCTGTCCATTCACTTCCCTCTAAATTTTAAAATAGATTATATCAGGTTGTACCAGCCAGAAGATGCGATCAATTTAACATGTGATCCTGCTGACTATCCAACATATCAATATATCGAAGAACATTTAAACGCGTACTCAAACGTGAACTTCACAAGTTGGAAAGAAGCTGGCTATACTTTCCCTAAGCACAAATTAAATGGCTGTTGAAAAGATATTGGTTCCATAATTATTGTATTTTATAAAATTTTCCACTATTCTACCTGGTGTAGTTAAAATATACATTTAAGAAAGCTTTACAGTAAAATACAGTTCATAATGAGATGATTTTCCTTTAATCATGGCAATGTGTAGTACAGTGTATTCCCATAGTATCTTTTGAGCAGGTCCACTAGCGTCCCAAATAGGAAATTGGAACCCTTTTTGAAAGAGTACGAGTCATATTCAAATCTTCCAGATTAGTCACATCTATGTGCACTACCTAGATCACCTTTTAAAGGGCACTAGGAGATAGCATGATTTGGGAAACTGAAAAGCACATTCCGGTTTATTCTTCTTGTTCAAGAACCATCGCTTCATGATGATCAAAGACTCACATAAAAGGCCACCTGGGTTCTTTGAACGCCAATATATTTGCAGAAACACGAAAGATTATTGGGGGAATTTCAACATCACAGTTCAATACAGTAGTCGCATCTCACAAAATCTCTTATCAAATGCTTTAAGGAACGTAATCTTAGGAAACCAAAATTTTGTCTTGAATTTCTTCAGACTTAGTAGCTATTCAGCTGAAGATGATCACGTAGCTAACGGTTTTAATTATGAAGTAAGGCCAATTCAAAGAATTTTATTTAGTGACGTTGTAGCATTTGAGACCATAGATGGCCACCTTGATGATGAATGTTTTGTGAAGATGAATCAATTTAGGTGCCACATGAATGTAGACACAAGTCCGCTATGGAGGGTTATCTTATGGGAGTCCAATGACGAATCTAGTACCCAATACTTATCTTTTTATTGTGACCATGCACTTTTCGATGGAACATCTGGGGTACAATTCCACAGAGACTTGATTGAAGAATTGGCCAGACTTTCCATGGATGAAGGTCATTTGAGTTTCAAAGAGACGTTATTTGAATACGAATTGGATCATAGTTACCTTCCAGATCCACTTGGCGATGCCTTAGAAAATAAGATTGATTTATACCACAGACCTCTCATTCAGAAAGTCATCTTGTGGTTTCAGAAAAGTACTTCGCTTGTACGTGGAAAACTACTTGCAATTGGCACTTCCCTTTCCAGATTTCTCAGGCTGGTGTTTGGTTTCACGGATTATTCTCTTATTGATGATAATGGGGAAAACAAACTATTTAGATATAAGCCTGGAACTGTTGGCCTCATCCACAAATATAAAATAATTAATTTTCTGCCCAAAGAAACTTCTGATGTGTTAAGGTTCTGCAAATCAGAAGGAGTTACGTTGACCCCTTTCATTTTGATAATCGCAACAAGGAGTTTGGAAAAAACAATATTTGCAGATATCAATGTACTTAACAATGGAAAGGAAACTGCTACTGAAAGATATAGTACTGTTTCCAAAATCAGCATCAATGGCAGAAGACACTATTCAGCCGAGGTGAATAAAGAGAAGAACTTGAAATATGGTGTTTGTGTTGCAACTACTCCTATCCCTTTACCTTCACTAGCAGACACTGATGATGGGAAATTATTAAGAGTAATTAAGAAGTTATCATCAGACGTCTTATCTTATGCCGTTTATAGAAATTGTTTCTGGAATTTTGGGGACTACTTGAAAACGGCAAATTTTTGGGACTCTTTCAAGAGCCAAATAGGTAATTTCACAAGAGACACACTTTATACATCAAATTTGGGTTTCGTTAATATAGAGAAAATTGATGCATGGGAAGTGAAAAACATCTGGTTCACACAATCGAACGGACTTGTATATCACTTTGTCTTCAGTGTTGTCAGCAGTCTATCCGGCGGATTGAATATTGGCTTAGGTTATCTACCTGAGTTTGATGAAGTAGAGGGTTCAGTGGATGGATTTGTTCGCACTTTTAAGGAGGATATGCTAAATTTCAAGAGTCATGCGTAACACCGATTTTAATTGCTAAAACAAACTTAAGAAATATCATATTAAAATAGTGCTGATAAGCTTCGTTCACACATGTTTCAATGTATGTCCCCTTCAACAGTTGTGTTCGATACTCCGTATTAATTTTATTCGCAGCCAGAAGATTTTATGCGCGCTGCAGCAATCGTAATGCCCGTATTGATTCGAGTATATATGGCTAATATACATTTGACATGCAAGGATAAGTGAAAACAGCAAACCCTACCCTTTTGGAAATCATGAACCGTACATTTTGTAGTTTACTGCTCTTATCAAAGGGGCTCAGTGAAGACTGCACCCCAACTGGACATGCCACTGTTAGACTCCAAAAAGAAAAAAAAAAAAAGAAAAGAAGACATTTGGAGTCATTAAGCGGTGCCAGTCTGGCCAAGCTTCTGGTTTCATGTTTAGATTCTATGTCATGTTAAATCTAACCAAGCATACTTCAAGGATATTGATAATCATTCTAAGGCTTCAAATCTATAAGGTATTCCTATTTCTCTGACAAATTACTCGAAATCGCCTAATTACAGTTTTTTTTGCACTTCATCCAAGTCATTCATCCAAATAATCATGTATTGTTGTTTCCTGAGCTAACTTAGCGGGCTGATTTGCGCTGTATTCCATGTAGGGAAAAACCCCCTCGACAATCTTTTAGACTATGTAATGGCTTCGTACACATTCGTACGCAGCTCTGGAAATCCTTATACAAAGAAGGTACGCAAGTGAACGGGATAAATTTAGGTGCTGGCTAAGCAAATAAGCAAAATTGCATAAAAAACATAATTTATAGTTCTATTTGTAAAATTGAGTATTAAATATGCGATAAGAATATGTCAATTATCAAAAGGAAAGTTCCCTATATTATCGAAAATCACTGACAAATCTAGGGAATCTTTTCTTAAATTGACTAAAAAGCTAAAATAGACAACAATTTAAGATACTGAAGTAGAGATGAATAGGTGGAATATCAGATTGTACGTAGCAATGTATTTAAACGGGAGCTAATTCTCGGAAAATAAACCAACTTTCCTTAAAGCTTCATTTCGATATTTCTTTTGGACCTATTAATTCAATAACATTAACTCTCCATACAGTTATTACGTCCCCACACGTTTGGATATTATTTGGTTGAGAATCGTATCACGTTTGAAAAACCTATGGTAGACTTAAATTTTTTCAGATGCAACTAAATAGATGTTTTTTTTGGTGAAGTTGTTGATACTATGTCAGTTCTAAAATATATCTTCATCTTATTGAAAAATCGAAACGTTTGAATAAATACATATGCAGATTACTACTTTCTCTATGATTAGGATTTCAAGGGTATAAATTACCCTACTCATTCCATCTAAAAAAAGTGTTAATATTTGGAATATCTGATTTAAGTTGCTATGCACCTAAAATGAATCGATCAACTAAAATTAAATGCGGCAGGTTAAACGAAATTATTCTAAAATTAATGTAAACAAGCTAAAGAAATACTTGGAACTTTCAGGAAACTTCACGATTTTTTGGACATGGCTTCCATCAATTTCAGACATTCAAAACGTGACTCTTCATTAAAGTAGAGAGTTGTGTGGATCTCCATCTTGAGTATACTTATAGATTGAAGAAATAAATCTCTTGTGGTAGTTTTGCACATCAACATATAAAGTATGTAAACTGATATGAACGAGGCGTTGATCGAAGCAAGGTTACTAAACAGGGAACAGTAAAGAAATGAGAAATTAATCAAGAGGAATAATTATTAGCCGTTGATAATATACAAAGTATCAACCATGACGTCAATCCTTTTATGTAAATGTGTAAATGTGGGAAATTTTGTGACAAATTTCATGTTTGATTGGACGCTATTATGTGCAAACTAGAAAGTCAAGGTTTTTTCTCCTGTTGGAGAACATTTTTCTACGGGATTTGGAAAGTTCCATGCAAGGCTCTTTGTTAAAATACACTTTCAGTCCAAAAAATAAATCATGCGAAGGCTCTTGGAAGCAGTGCTCATAATTAATGCGAGAGCGATGGGCATTGGCCCTTCCGACACCTTATTTTCCTTAACCCCTCTTCCCAATTCCTTATGTATAACTGCTTTGTTTTGAAAGTAGTGAATGATTTGATTTTCAAGTAAAAGTAAAGAACTAGCGTTATAATTTTGTCACGCATATAGATATAATATTGCCAATAGCAATAGAGCATTGGTTAGAAGCGAACCCCTCCTTCTCAAAAAAAAAGCAAATAGTTAAAGCTAGAATAAGAGGCGCTGGCTTTAAGGTACTTAAAATTTCACACATCTTCTAATTGATGATCTATACATAGACAAGAAAAGCGATCTACTTTTAGCTTGGATTTAATTTTTCTTATGTTAATGACTTGTAGCAAAACTTATTGTAAACGAGAGGGCAATTATCGGCAGATATCTTGAAAGCTGTAATAATAAAATCGTCTCCTTTCTATTTTATAGAGAGCTTTAAGTCGATGGAATGTGTACGATAGCCGTTGAATAAGCAAGCGTTGTATTAGCAATAGATTATTGACTAACAACAATTGCCTCTTGTAAAATGTACCAAGAAATTATTTTTTACGAAATACGGAAATTTCTTTTGCAACGCAGTGGTTTGTATATTGTGAACAAAGCATCATGGATGTTTTATAGGTTTTATTTTTAGCGAAGAAAAGTTACATTGTTTTAGTAAGCTCGGATAGACGCAAAGTTAATTTACATATGCTGAGTCGGCTTTATCGCAAACATATCAGCTATTTCAATACTAACTACCCGTTATTATAGATACTTGGAATAATCTCCAAAGATTTTCTTTGACTTTTGAAATCTTTAGATGAATGCACTCGAATTTAAAGTTGTCAAGAAGATTTGCATTTAAACCTAATTTCTCCAGTTTTTTTGCATAACGCACAAGTACTGAACAACCTCATTAATTTTTTTCCGCGTCTTTCTTCCCTGATGCGATCACATCGCCACTTTCAAAGTTCAGTGACAAGGCTTAATGGTGCGTTTTCAAAGTGAGTAACAGGAAATTCTTGTTATTGGTTACATGTTAAATAGTAGGTTGCTTGACGCAGAACAAATCAAGATGTTATTATGATGAACCTGAAATGATCACAGATGCACCAGCGATAAGAGAGGGCACACTGAAAATTTAAGAAAGTGAGCGCCTGGTGATGGTCCATTCAATAATATGCACATATTCTAAAAGTAACCGACAAATTGTTAAATCAAGAGAAGAATTCAAGATTTCAATGACAGATGTTATACTACATTTCGATCATTTTGTCGTAAATGCGAGTATACCATCATTTTTTCTTTTGCTTTATTAAAAATTATTTTATTCAATAGAAAGAAAGGCAATTACTTACATGCATGATACGTCGTATAAGAGCTGCACCCTGCAAGCAGGGACTCCAACGTACACTAATGTACAGTATTGTAAAAAAGAAATAAAAATGAATGGCTCCAAGCAATTTCATTCATATATATAATTCATTTTCAGGCTTTTCACTAAAATAAGTTAACAAATCAAACTAAAGTTTTAATAGTTAAGAAAATCAACGTTGAATTACATGTACGTGACTAGAGGATTGGCTAGCCTTATCTGGCTTTTAGCCATGATTGCGCTGGTGGTGAATGCTGCTAGTGTATATGGAATTTTTACAGGGTTAAGCTCCATTACCAATGTAGCGAGTACAAGTCCTTTGATACCACAGTCCCCAATTTGGCAGGCTACAGTTTCGTGGACATTGGATAGTAGCAAAGTAAAAACCGGAGATACGTTTACTTTGAACATGCCATATGTGTTCAAATTCTTAAATGATTCTCAAACGACTGCTTACCTTTCAGTGGGTTCCACGAATTATGCGAGCTGTAATTTATTTGCAGGAGGGATGATTGTTGATTATTCGGAACTCCAATGTACTGTGTTGAGCCCTATATCTACAATACTATCAGTGAGTGGCTCAGTAACTTATGGTGTATCATTCCAGGCAGGTTATGGGTCACGCCAGTTAGATTTAGATGCTGGAAGTATATTCACTGCAGGCACTAATACAATTACCTGGAATGATGGTCGGAATCTGTTGTCAACTACAGTTACGTTTGCTGCAGGGAGACTGAATAATCCCTCTTCATTGAGCGCAAGCGCAATTAATTATGCTCTCCGTACCATTCCCAATTTTCAGCTTAAGCAGAGTCTTTTGGTAGGTGGTAGTTGTCCTAACGGTATCTCTTCAGGTACTTTAGGAATTCAAATTACTGAAGGTGGTACTATAGACTGTTCAACAGTAAATATTGCAATGTCTAACAACCTTAATGACTGGTACCTTGCAGAATCTGCTACATCACTTGCATATTCGGGATCATGCAGTTCATCTCTGTACACTGTTAGTTACACTGATGTACCTGCAGGCTATAGGGCTATCATGGATGGGTTTATTGTTCCTTCTCTGGATGGTAAGAATACAGTCATCGCATACACCAATACTTATAAATGTGTTGGAGCTACGACTACAACATCTTCCGGTATTAAAGTTTCATGGTCTCCTTACGTGGCTGTGGCTGGTGGATCAAATGGAAATGCTGTCCAATTGTTAACCCGAACTTGGACAAATTCCTATACACAAGTTACTACGTTACCGTTTTCTACGGCGCTGGGGAATACAGAAACAATTGTAGTCAATGTTCCAATTCCAACAACAACGGTGACGCTGACATGGTTAAGTTCCATCACTAAGACAACAACTAGTACGGCCACAATCGGTGGTACCGCGAAAGTGGAGATTGATGTTCCCATTCCAACAACAACAGTGACAACTACATGGACAGGATCAATATCGACTAGAAGCACCATCACAGGTACTATTGGAGGAACCGCAACTGTTCTTGTCGAACTACCCACCCCAACTACCACGGTCACATCTACGTGGACAAGGTCTCAAACTTCTTCGACAACTGTCACAGCGTCAACAGGTGGCTCAGCTACAGTAATCATTGAAGTGCCAACCCCTACTACCACTCTCACCTCCACTTGGACTGGAAGTAATACTCAAACCACAACCATCACAGCGACAAAGGGTGGCACTAATACCGAAATTGTCCAGGTACCTACCCCAACTAGAACTACAACATCGACATGGACAGGCACTGGAATCTCTACTACAACAACTACATCTGGAGGAACTGCTATTGTTATAGTTGACGTTCCTACCCCCACAACTACTGTAACTAGTACATGGACAGGTACTGGTACCGAGACCACCACGGTGACTGCCTCTGAAGGTGGTACTGCTACCGTTATTATTGAGGTTCCTACTCCTACCAGTACTATTACGAGCACTTGGACAGGAAGTGATACTCAATCAACTACTATCACTGCCACCAAAGGAGGAACTGCGACGCTTATTATTGAGGTTCCTACTCCTACCAGTACTATTACGAGCACTTGGACAGGAAGTGATACTCAATCAACTACTATCACTGCCACCAAAGGAGGAACTGCGACGCTTATTAT